CAGTGTAGCATTTTCCAGATGAAGCTAATACAGGCAATCCCAGGTCTAAGCACCTGCTCTGTTTCCTAAATGTCTTTAACCCAAAATTGTTTTCAGGTTGGGACAGACTATTGTACTTGTGCTTCTGCCTATTAGGGATGGGCATCAAGAACAAAGTTGCTTACAAAGTTTAAAATTATGACTTCAAAATTGAGTTATGGCGAAGACAGATTTCTAGCAAGGAGAACCCAATTTAAGGAGAATCCTCTGGAATTCAATCTCTCACTGTCCTGAAGGCCAAGTGATCCAACTCAAAATGGCAGGCAGTGTTGTCCTTCTACTAAAGTGGCACAAGGCATTCATGAACTGCTAAAAAAGGTATATATTGTATTAAAAATACACATACTACTTTGTGATGCTCATGAAATCTTTTTGTAGCTTCAGCGATTTGTCAACTCAAAGAACAACATCCGCCATTTTGAATGAGATCACATTGCCAGTCAGCCAATCTGCCGTTTTAAACACTGTAAAAAGTGATTTTGCAATACCTTTGCCATTTTTTAATAATCCTGTTCCTCTCTAGAGGTTGTCTTTAAGTTGGATGATCTTAGCCCAGGGACTGCCTGTATTAAAATTAATAGTTTTTGTTTTCAATGATTGATTTAAAAATCACTGCAAAACTATATAAGACTTTATGACAAAAACATGCTGGAAAGTTAAGCTCAAGTTGCACATTGCAAGCCCCTAAGTGAGCTTACTTGATTAACTGTCTCTTTGTGTCAAATTACAAATATCCTATGCAGCAAATTTCATCTTACTGCAGATATCCTCATTTCAAATCAGTAATGATTAGTTGAAATTGTACTTTTCTATAAAATGCACAGACATCATGGTTATTTAGCAAATTATTACAGGGCCATAGCTAAACTAAATTAAAACAAAAAGTATTCGTTAACCACTTACACAACCAGCAAGCTCTTATTCTGTAGGATACATCAGGTAAGGCTCCTTTTATCTTGGCCACCAGTCAACTTCATCTTGACCTTTAAGTCTTTAAGTGCTTTTCAGAAGGACTTGAGGTGCTTGGTCAAAAGTGACAGATGGCTTTATCTTTATACTTTGATAAACAACCTTTTCCCCCATTTGTAGATAAAGCGAAGCTTTTTCTCCCATTATGGCTTGTCCTTCTTCCAGCTTTTCTTTATATTTTCTTTTCCCAAACTTTCCCTTCTCTTCAAGCCTGATCCTTAAGAGGTCTTTGGCTTGTCTACTTGCCTTAATTCTTGAATTCTACTCTAAAGGTTCTTTCATGCTTTCTCTTTGGGGTCGCCATTACTGTACAGCTTTACACTCTGAGGCAACAACAGAGGACAGTAAATTAGGGGACAATAATCAGAGCAAGAATTTTCACCTCATTTTATACAAGTCTCTTCTTGATCAAATAAACAATAAAATATCAATCACATTTTGCTAAGCATTAAGAATAAATTTACTAGAAATGCCCAATATGCTGAACTGCAGTAATAAACTTTGGAGGCAGCAGCAAATGCCATTTCCAAACCAAAAGCACAAGTCTAAATATGAAGCCTGTGCTACAATAATGCAATATATTGTTTACTATAGTTAAAGTTTTCTAAGTATGAAAATTCATTAATGCATTAATTTTCTGGAGAATGGAACACACACAACAAATTACAAATAACACAAGAAAACAGCCTTGTCATTTAGGTTTGTTACCTCATACACAAACGTGAATTTCAAACTTCAACACCCTCTCACCAATCAGTCATCTGAAGAAAGGATATTGAACATAAGCAAATCCTCTTGGACGGCGGGTGTAGAAATCCAAGGGTACGTATACATCAACTATTGGACCATATCGACCAAATTCCCGACGTAAGTCTTCAGACCTGCAAATAAGACTTAATGTTTGTTTGTGTTCACAAATTAGAAAGTGGAGTAGAAATTAAAATACCTATGTGTATAAATACTTATCGACCTGGGAGTACAATCCTATGACTTTGGTAAGTACATCCCACTTATTTGTTACAGAGTATGAACTCCACTCTAAACTTTCCCTTGCCAGCTTGAAGTAAGAACCCAAATTTTAATAGAATATAATGTAGCAATACCTAACACAATGTATCATTCGTGCTAAATATTTATTAAGAATGTAACCTTTGGAGAGAATAAATTCAAACATGTAAATGACTACCAGCCAGAGATATACAAAAGTTCTTGCATCAGAACATCTGATTTCAGGTGGTTTGTTATCAAATTGAAACTTGCATGACTGGTCTGGAAATATTTGATTGGACTTCCAAACCCCATTTTGTGCACGGGGCATATTTTTTTTGTGTGCACGCTCCTACAAACCATAAGAAAGACTGTATGATTTCACGCACCAACTCTAATAACCAGAAATTTGACCGTTTACTAGATGCAAATAAACATCTCTGGAGAAAAACAGATTTGCTATAGATTTCAAATAAGTTCCCTAGTAGGGTTCGGAGAGAAGAATCTGGGAAAAATGTAACTTAATGTAAATCTCCAAATATAATCCAAGATTGAAGAAAAAAAAATGTAGGTTTAGAATGTGCTAAAACTGGAATTATACGTATTATCGAGGAGCTATTTTAATGAGGCTAAATTCGAATAAAGGAAGTAGTGGATATAGCAAACATGCAGCAGTGCCTTGCAGAAATGAAAAAAAAAAATAGCAAAAACTATTAAAAAACCAAAGGGAAGCCGGCAGAACTGCAGATAGGGGGAAAGAAAAAAAAAGGGGGTGAAAAAAATTAAATGCTTTCCCCACCCCACAATCTCTCAAACACAGAGGGGTCTCATCATTTTACTACTGTTAAGTGAGGCGATATTCCTGATTTCACGCGCTGCTCTTCGTAAGTCTCCTTTGGCGCCAAAAACGAGAAGTTGGCACACAAATGAAGCGAGCACCAAGTGGCTCCTTTCACGCGTCTCGCTTCGCAGGGCTCCTGGAGGGCTCACGAACCGTTCGCCCGCCCCGCATTTTCAACAACGAAGACCCCAGAAGTCCTGACAGTGAGAACAATTAACCAGTGGAACCACCTGCCTCCAGAAGCGGTAAATGCTCCAACACTGGAAGTTTTTAAGAGACTGGACGGCCATTTGTCCGAAATGGTGTAGGGTTTCCTGCCTGAGCAGGGGGTTGGACTAGATGACTTCCAAGGTCCCTTCCAACTTTATCATTATTATTATTAACGGGTGAGGAGGCCACAGAGCAGGAAAACGACCGAGAAGGCCTCCAGCAGGCCTGGCCGCAGCAAAGGAGCGCCTGGAGACATCCCTCCCCCGAAGCAAGACCGGGACGCGGGAAATACCGAGGCAACGCTGAGGCGATCGCGCCTCAGGCCTACCGCGCCCTTCCTTCCCCGCCTCCCTCGCTTAACACACACACACACACCTGGTATCGTCGGCCACGTTTCGCACAAATAGCGAGGTGTTCGGCGGCCGCAGGTAGCGAGACATGATTCTTCCGGGGGAAGGGAAGCGGCCCGCCGGCTAGAGGCGAAGGGCGAAGCCAAGAGAGTCGAAAGGGACCCAGGCGCTGAGGAGAAAGAGGCACAACAGAGAACGACTCGGGGCAACCGCCTTGTGGCGAACTCTCGCGAGAGTCGGGCCGCGCGCGCTAACGCGCGCGCGCACACACCCCAACGGCGGGCGGGAGGGCGTCTCGCGCTTTCTCTCTTTCTGCCGTCGAGCGAATGGCAACGCGCCTGCGCCTTAGCCCGCAACCGTCGTGCGGAGGCAGGTCTCGCGTTGTTTGACGAGCACTTTCCGGTCGTGGGCGCGCCTGCGCGGTCGGGTCCGACCGTGCTTTGCCGCCTTTGGGGCGCGGGCCAGGGTCGGGCCTGGTTGTGGAGAGAGATTTTTTTTTGGGGGGGAGGAAGGAAATGCAGAAAGAAGAGAATGTGAAAACGCGTCTTTGGGGAACGTTCTTGGCCGTTTGGTTTGTTGGGCTGCGTTTTGTAAAAAAAAAAAAAAAATAACATTCGCTTTCAGACGTGGTGATGTTGCCTGGGGTTTTAAGGCGTCGTCGTTAGCATTTTAAAAGGGGATATTGGCACTTTTAAGTATAGGTCTCTTTTAAAAAAAAAAAAAACTTAAGGAAAACACGTTTTTTGCTCTGGGCCGAGATTGCATTGCAGCCCCAGAGGATGCTGGAAGAAATGGATCACGGGTAGGCAACCTTGGTTCTTTTATGACTCATGGACTTCAACTCCCAGAATTCCTGAGCCAGCATAGCTGGCTCAGGAATTCTGGGAGTTGAAGTCCATGAGTCATAAAAGAGCCGAGGTTACCTATCCCTGAAATGGATAATGTGGATCCCTTTCGGTTGGGATTCTGGTTTGGATATAGGATGGAGATAGTGGGATTTGGGAAAAGGGCTTCTGTGTGATGGCTCCCTCTTTTTGGACCACCATTCCGGCAGAGAGAAGACTGGCTCCCATCTTGTTGTTTTTCCAGAAGGACTTGAAATCTCCCTCCCTTTCTCCCCCTCTCCTTCCCTCTCTCCCTATCTCTATCATCTACTTTATAAGGCACCCTCCTACTGCAAGGTAATAATAATAATGAAGTTGGAAGGGATCTTGGAGGTCATCTAGTCCAACCCCCTGCTCAGGCAGGAAACCCTACACCATTTCAGACAAATGGCTGTCCAGTCTCTTCTTAAAAACTTCCAGTGTTGGAGCATTCGCTGCTTCTGGAGGCAGGTTGTTCCACTGGTTAATTGTTCTAACTGTCAGGAAGTTTCTCCTTAATTGCTTCTCTCGTTGGTTAGTTTCCATCCATTATCACAAATCCCACAGTCACATGGCCACATTTTATAATGGTTTTGTTAGCAGGCTTGAGGAACCCATTCAGAGCCTATCAATTTGCTTGTTTGACTCTGTTGCCCCCACTATGAGATGGGGGTTAAATTGTGGATTTTTAACTGAAAATCCTTGTTTGGAGTCATTGTGTCTACTTAATAAACAGAGAAGTCAAATAAGTAACATCTTTAATCTAGTTAATCTGCAAAAAGTCTACACAAAGCTCAGGGATTTTAAGAATAATTAATATATATAATATTTGGCGTTCCACATCTCAACTCTTAATTGCAACAAAACCCCTTTCAAAAGCCTGAGAAGGTCCCAATATCCAAGTGTAAATAAAATAAAAGAAAACCCAAGTTTAATATGACCAAGAGATGCCATTTTTCCTTTACAAAAAGCAAGCTCCAATACATTTCAAATGCCAACGATTTTTTTTAAAAGCCACCCCTAACTATATAGTTTATAACAGAGAGTGTCAAATGCTTCTTTATTTAAGTGCTAGGAGCTTTATGTATGTATAATCATCCAATTGAAAGAAGAGACTTGTGAAATTTTATTCAGATTTGATCAGCAAATAAGCTTCTTAGTTCACAGATGTGTATTTAAGGTCTGCTCTTCTAAATGACGTCGTGAACTCCTTTGCAGATATTTCTTACACCAGAAGCCCCACCACTGCACCAGCGGCAGTTATCGCCGCTTTGGTAGCGACACCAAGGCCTGCCATCCCTAGGGTGAAAAACAAAAACAGGTAACAGAATTAGGAAGATGAAAAACAACTTATCAAATGTCCTACAAGTATCTGAAAACAATAATGTTATATCATGGAGACTTAAGTAAGATCTTATGCAAATTGAGTTAGGGAAAATAAGCCACACATACAGTATAGAAGTACTGTAAATGCAAATAGTATAATTACACATTGATCTTTTTATTATCTGCTTAAGTACATAGGTAAGTGCACCCTGTACATTTTTAGTTCTTACTGATTTTGAGTTTCTCTGTGTATATGCTCGTTAAGTCTTTATTTTCAAGGCACTCAAACTTCACATTCAGCAGGATAAAAACAGCTAAACTCAACATTGCTTAATTATTGTTACATTTTTTTTCAAAAGTTTGGCACTGATACCTTGGTTTTGGATAGCTCTTCGACTATCATTCAGTCTTAGTCTGTGTAAAGTTCATTCTCTTGTACTCTTGTTCAGAACACATTTTAAAATGCAAAATACTCTGTTCACCTGTTAAAATAGTCATATGGACATATCGTCTATTCATCCTTGAACACTGTTGATGCTTTATATATTTAACTTCAAAAGCTACTTTGCACTTGGTGATTTGACCTGTATATTCTGTGTTCTTCAAGAATGTATGTCCTATAATTACTTATTGGTTTTGCATACTATTAGTACTGTATACTGCATTGGAGGATTAAATGGGTAGCTGGGCAAAGAGAAATGTTTCATGTTTAAAAGGTGGGGCCTCTATTCTGAGTAGTTTTTTCTTGTCCTCTCACCTTCCTCCAAATGTTCATTTGGTCAAGTAGAAACTGCCATTTGTTTTGCTTCCAGGAAAAACAGAAAACGTAAATGCAGGCAGGTCTTTAAATATTGGAATGGAGAGAAACAATCCAATTAGGTTTAGAAGAAGAGAGAGGTGTATTTGAAAATATATTTTTTTAAAAAATAACCCTCTTGTCGAATCAATGTAATATTTTTTGCAAGGATGTTCATCTGGCCTCAAGAAACTAATTGTGTATCTGCAAAACCAGATACACAAAAAACCGTGCAGAGCTTCATTTGTACCATCGTAGCCACCATCTTGATCTTTTGGACTACACCCTTCAAAAACCCCTGGAAGTAATTGATTTTTGAAAGGGAAGTGTCTTGTGAGAAATCCGAAACACAACACCAACCTCCCTTTCATTGTGTCCTTTCAGTAAGAACGTATGTATGTTCTTCCAAAGAAAACGGGAATCCTGGTGCTAATGCTACAGTGATCAAAGGCGATCAAACCGGTCAGTCCTAGAGGAGATCAACCCTGACTGCTCTTTAGAAGGCCAGATCCTGAAGTTGAAACTCAAGTACTTTGGCCACCTAATGAGAAGGAAGGACTCACTGGAGAAGAGCCTGATGCTGGGAAAGATGGAGGGCAATAGAAGAAGGGGACGACAGAGAATGAGGTGGCTGGATGGAGTCACTGAAGCAGGAGGCGTGAGCTTAAAGGGACTCCAGAAGATGGTAGAGGACAGGAAGGCCTGGAGGAACGTTGTCCATGGGGTCGTGATGGGTCAGACATGACTTCGCAACTAACAACAACAACAACTGCTACAGTATAGGTAGTCCTCAACAACAATTCACTTAGTGACTGTTCAGAGTTACAATGCATCGAAAAAGTGATTTACGACCATTTTTCACACGGCCATTGCAGCATCCCCAGAGTCACCTTTTGCGACATTCTGACAAGTACAAGAATAGGGAAATCCGGTTCACTTAACAACTATGTTGCTACCTTAACAACGGCAGCGATTCAGTTAACTACTGTGGCAAGAAAGGTAAAATAGGACAAAACTCACTTAACAAATGTCTCATTTAGCAACAGAAATTTCGGGCTCAGATTTGGACAACCACCACTAGATGGCAGCAAAGGGTTAACAAGCAAAACTCAGAAGAAAAAGACTTAGCTGACAAAAACTAAAAATAAAATAATAAAAATGATATAAAAATAGTAAATAATAAATTCATTATTGCACTTTGAGTTTTTTCTTTTTAATTAATGAATTTATTATTTACTATTTTTATGTCATTTTTATTATTTTATTTTTAATTTTTGTCAGATGATATGTGTTTGTCCCAAGCCTTTTTTAAAACTCAGTTAATTGTCTTTTATATCTGGGTACTGCCATCTAGGATTCTGAATCTCAGTTTTTTTCCTTGGCCAAAACGCTCCAAACTATTTCTAGTGGTAATGTGGAACATCTTTATTTCTGCCCAATTATGGCTGGCATGGAGCAGCTTGACAGACCTTGCACAGTTCAGTCTTTGGATCTGAGTTCCAACAAAACATTTTCTCTATTTTGCACATCCCTTATTTGAAAGCTACATACTGTGGAAGGGTGAATCTACCAAGGTGGCTGGCTAGGAACCTGAGCGTCCTTGTACTTGAGCCGTTTAAAGAGCCAGTGGGGTATAATGGTTAAGAGACCAAGACAGAAATTGGGGGCCCTGAGTTCTAATCCTGATTTAGATCTTTGGGCCAGTCCCTCTATTAACCCTAAAAAGAAGGCAGCCTTTTCCAAAAAATTTATTTTATTTCTCACATTTTTAAAGTGGCCATTTCCCTCACAGAAGAATTCTGGGCAGTGTACAATAAAATATTAAAATATAAGAACAATATATAAAAATTAAAAATATAAAAGAGGCAATTTAAAACACTTAAAAATAAAAGTTGAAGGGAGGGCTGTCAAGGTGCCAACCAGCCCCATAGTTGTATACTCCTCTGGGCTACTGCGAGTCCCCTGGACTGCAAGGCAATCAAACCGGTCAGTCCTAGAGGAGATCAACCCCCATTGCTCTTTAGAAGGCCAGATCCTGAAGTTGAAACTCAAATACTTTGACCACCTAATGAGAAGGAAGGACTCACTGGAGAAGAGCCTGATGCTGGGAAAGATGGAGGGCAAGAGAAGAATGGGATGACAGAGAATGAGGTGGCTGGATGTGGTCACTGAAGCAGCAGGCGTGAGCTGAAATGGACTCCAGAAGATGGTAGAGGACAGGAAGGCCTGGAGGAACATTGTCCATGGGGTCGCGATGGGTTGGACACGACTTCGCAACTAACAACAACAACTGGGCTACTTGTGCAAGACTTCAGAATTGGACACCTGTCTCACTTCTGGTGGGAAAGTATTCCATAGGGCAGGGGCAATGACAGAGAAGGCTCTCTTCCTAAACGCTGTCAGTTGGAATTCTTTAACTGACAGGGTCTGCAACATAGGTTCCCTGCTTGATTGACAGGCAGACGTAATGGGACAAAGAGGGTTTTGTAGATAGCTTGGCCCCAGGCCATGGAGGGCTTTAAAGACCATAGCTGACATCTTGAATTGGACCTGGAGGGAAACTGGCATTCATTGCACCCACTGGCACCGTGGAGCAAAAGTGTTACGTGTCATCCCACGTGGTTGCATTCTGCACCAGCTGAAGCTTGCAGGTACTTTCAAAGGTAGCCCCTATAGAGCGCATTGCAATAGTCCAAACAGGAGATGACCAGGCAAGAGTGGAGAGCCTCCCTGTCCATTTTTGGTTCCTGTTGATAAATGTTGCCTAGAAAACTGCAGGGACTTGCCCAGGTAGTAACCAGGAGTCAGGACTGATTTGAAGGCACAGATCAACCCATCAATTGCCATTTTAGGACTTACATTAGGGTTTCCCACCATGGAGCAATAAGAAACTGTCGTCCACTGATACCAATTATGCAAAGTCAGCTGAGTCCCCACAAAGAGTATTGTGGGTCACACATGGTCCTGGGAAAGCAGGTTGCCCATCCATGAGAGAGAAAGGCATGTTGTAGCATACCAGGCTGACATTTCCTCTTATTAAAACGATATAAAGCAGACATGTCAAACATGAGGCCCGGGGGCCGGATGCGGCCCGCGAAGTGGTTTCATGTGGCCCGCGAAGCCATCCTGGAAACAGTGAGGGAACGGCCCCCACTGCCTTGGCCCTGGCCCAGGCCAGCTGGGAGCCAATATACAATTTTGTGGTGGCCATCTATGCTGAAACACATTCAGTCTTAGCTCCACAAGGCCGTCTGGAAACAGCGAGGAACCAGCCCCTGCCGCGTTGGCCCAGCCCCCTGGGTGCATGCTGGGGAGGTGTCACCCTTTGTGAGGAATGAAGAAATGGACCATTGCCTGGAAGTGGCCAGCAAATGGCCCTCGCCTACTTCACATATCCGGCTTGATGGGCTCCAGGGAAGGAATTTCAGCAAGCAGTGAGGCTCCTCCAGTGGATCATGCCTTGGCACTTGCCCCGGTCCCACCCCTTTCTGCCGGAGACCCTCAGATCTGTCCCACTCCTGCCCAGGCCCCCACGGGCACCCTTGATGCGAACGATGTAGAGCTGGCCACGCCCACCCAATAGGCTGCACCCACCCCATCCACCCCCCCAAGGGCAACCACAATGCTGATGCGGCCCTCAATGAAATTGAGTTTGACATCCCTGATCTAAAGCAATAACATTCAGCTTCTGTGTTCCCGTTGGCACCTTCCCACAAGCATATAGGCATCATTTTTTCAAAATCACAACAGGCTGGTAAAAGGCTATGGCATAATAAATGGCTGAGCCACTACAGGTTTTGCGGCAACAGGGCAAAAAACTGAAAAGTGATACTGACCAGCGGATTGCCCCAGGGCAACGAGGCTTCCAGCGGCCACACCACCCCCGCTGGCGATGGCTGCGGCTGACATCATCTTCGCTGCCAGTGATCCAGCAGCAATGCCGACAGCTGTGAACCCCACGGCACTCAGCATGAGCGGGGCACCGATAGCTGCAGCCCCTGAAAAGCATGCTGTTAGTTACTGCTGCACAGACATAACCCAGACCTGAGATAAATTCATATCACTGGTTTATTTACTGCATTTTCTGCCAATTTTTCTTTCCACACCTTATTTCTCACCAGCCATTCAATCAGTTGCATGGTCAAAGGGAATGCATGTCTCCTTAAAGCAGCGGTTCTCAACCTGTGGGTGGGACCCCATTTGGGGTCGAATGACCATTTTACGGGGGTCGCCGAACAACGCAGTCTGCCATTTTTTCCCCCTTTTCCTTAGCTGTGCTATTCCCTTTTATTCTATTGGCTTTTGAAAGCCAATAGAATAGACTCTCTTGAATAGAGTCTAATTCTATTAGCTTTCAAAAGCCAATAGGAATTGTCCAGGCTGTCTCTGCCTGCTGAGCCCGCCAAAAGTCCCATTCTGCAAACGGTGCTGCAAGTTGTCTGCAGCGAAGGCGAGCTGTCTGGAAGTTTCCACCCCTCCCTGCTGAGCAACTACTAAAAATGTAAGTAAAAGAGGGCCAGGGGTGGGAGGTGGGAGGCTGGTGGGCGCAGGGAGGGTTGCTGGCGCACGTGGGGCCCGGTGGGTGCCTTACCTCCCTTGGGCTGGGCCAGCTGGTGGCCCAGCCGGTAGTCAGCCTGCGCTGTCTCTGCCGCTTGCCAGCTACGCCTTGGCTGGCACAGGGGGCGGCACCGCGCATGCGCGGCGCTCCCAGGCAGGGAAAGTCCTCGACTTATGACCGGTTGGGTAGTCCTCGACTTACGACCAGTTGGGTAGTCCTCGACTTACGACCAGTTGGGGGTCGCGGCATTAAAAAGGTTGAGAACCACTGCCTTAAAGCAATCCGATGTTTTAATCACTTCATTGGCTTTCTAAATTACTTCACTTGCCTATATGTCCCTTAAGGTCTAACCCAGCTCTTTTATGACTCGTGGACTTCAACTCCCAGAATTCCTGAGCCAGCCATGCTGAGGGGAAAGGGAGAGGTTTCCAAGCTGAGCCATGCTGGCTTAGGAATTCTGGGAGTTGAAGTCCACAAGTCATGAAGGGGCCATGGTTGCCTACCCCTGGTCTAAACAGAAACAGGTACAACCTAGCCCAGTAGTGGTTTTACTCACAGAAGGTAGCTAACTAATCCTTCAACAAAAAACAAAGCTGTTTCTCAGTGTTGTGCTCTGTGAACATTAATGACACACTGACGATATGGCACTGTATAGAATATAGGAATCCATGTGGGAAAAAAGGAGCATATGCAGGCAGGCCTCCACTTACTACCACTTGTTAAAATGGCAATGAAAAAAGCGACATGACCGTTTTTCACACAAACTGTTGCAACCATTGCCCATCTCTGGTACAGATTGAAGACTGCCCTTATTGCTGAAGCTTCCAACCTCCCTATGGATCTTCAAATCATTTTTGTTAATAGTAACAATTACTTGGGTATTACAGGTTCTTGATGCGTGTGCTTCTTAAAAGCTAGAAAAAAAAAGGATGATCCTGCTCAAGTTCCATCAGCACTAGGAAGCGCCACCAAATCTAGAGTTCTCTTTTCCCAAATTAAACATCTTGTTTGTACTAAGAACTGCTCCGCTAATGCAAAATTCTCCCACCAATATGATGACAATCCATTAAGCGATATAGAGAAACAACTTACCAAGTCCAAGGGCAGCCCCTGTTAGCAAACCTAAGGGAATAGATATGTGCCGGTCAGATTTTTGACATATATACTAAGCTTCAAGTAAAAGATTTGCATTGCCAAGGAAAGTCAAATTTAACACTTCTCAATGTTGCAAAAGAAAGACCGGATTTTTTGGAAACCGCTTCTGGACTTTGTGCTTGAAGTAGAAAAAACGAATAAGTTTGTTGTTATAGAAATGGCAATTTTATTTTATTATGTAAAAGTAAAAAGTTGAGGTTTGATGTTATGCTATTGCATCAAAGGGAGTCAGAAGTCAACACCTTTTCTTTCTCTTTTCCCCTCTGCCCCACATTTTTCCTTTCCCTTTTCCCTCCCCTATTTTCCTACTATTTTCTTTTGTGTGTTTGCATTATATATTATAGAGCAATAAATAAATAGACTGTTGTAAAAGAAAGATTGAATTTTTCCATAACATCATGCGGGTAAAAAGAAGTTGGGCTCTGCTGACATGCACACACACACACACACACACTTCCCACACTCAGACACCCCCTACCAAGGTTGCCTCTGATGTGAAGTGTTAATTTTCCCTTTTACATGGCCAAGTGAACACAGCCATTGTAACTATATCATGCAAGGTTGACAACATCTTTATGACTAGAAAATCAATTGGACTTATTTCTTACCCATCCTCTTGTCGATGCCCCTGCAAGTAAAAAGCAGAAACTCTGGTAAGAAAATATATTCTATAGCTAACAACCTCTGACTGCTGACCCAATGCCTTGAAGTCCATTCAACCATTATCTCCAGAACTGAAGTTTCCAGCCATTACTATGTTCTAGGCAGCCTAGTCACCGAATCTGAACATATTTTCCCTAAGCCAGCCGAGAACTACTGATTTCCCACTCTATGCTCAAAACAGTCTGTAACCCAAAAGGAAACCCAAACTGCCTGGTACCTTGTAAATGAATAGTAGAGGAAAAAGAAGCAGGTTATTCTTACTAAAGCCAGCTGATACTCCTCTTATCAAAACCTACCCTGTACACTGGCTTAAAAACATTTCCACAGTGGGCATGGCTAATGACAGATATCCAATAGCATTGCAGATAATTCTGGTTTCGTTTCCATGATAGACCATCCAGCCATTAAATACTGACCCAGCCCTTATATCTTAGTTTTAGGTTTTGATTTCCCAAGTAGCATTTTAATTTCGATTTCCCAGTAGAGGAAAAGGATCAAGGACTTCTCTGTAAGTTCATGGCAACCGATGAGGAAGTGACAGCATCCTGACTGTTGTGTTTCCCATTCGTAGGCAATTGAAGAAGACACATGGTGAAACAACAAGCTCTTTATTACTCTTCTCCTACAACCAAGCAAACAGCAAAAGGCTCGCAGGCCTTTTATAGGGCCTGAGACCCAGACAGTGTGAACCAATAGGAACTGACCATTTTCCCGCCTTGCGCATGCGCACAATGCTGGCGTCACCCTGTCTGGTCCCGGGCAGCTTTTGGTTTGCCTGGGACCATTTGCAATAATTCTGAGCCTGCTTTCTCCTCTAGCAGGCTCAGGACACAACACTGACCACTTGCTAATGGATGGTAATCTTCATCTGGAAGTTTTTAAGAAGAAACTGGACAGCCATTTGTCCGAAATGGTGTAGGGTTACCTGCCTGAGCAGGGAGTTGGACTTGATGACCTCCAAGGTCCCTCCCAACTTTATTATTATTATTATTATTATTGATCATCGCACAGTCAGCCAGATGTTCAGACTGGATTTGGCATTTTGTCTACCTATCAAGTCCTTACCCAGGACCTGGGATAGGCAGATGTGGAGGTTTGATGGTATTACAGATATCGTCGCAGGATGGAAGCAGTTCCTAATAAGGCTGCCTTTTGCAATTGACTAATAGCGAATTTGTCAATGCCAATGGTGTTCAAGTGGTGCTCCAGTTGTTTTGGGATTGCACCCAAGGCGCCTATGACTATTGGTACTACCCTTGCTTGCTTTGGCCACAGTCTTTCTATTTCTATTTGTAGGTCTTTGTATTTTGTTATCTTCTCCAGTTCTTTCTCTTCTATTCTGCTCTCTCCAGGCACTGCCACATCCACTATCCAGACTTTTTTGTCTTTCTTATCGACAATTGTTAAGTCTGGGGTGTTATGTTGCAGGTGCTTGTCTGTTTGAATTCTTAAGTCCCAGAGCAGTTTAATTTTATAATTTTCTATGACTTTCTCTATTTTATGATCCCACCAGTTTTTGCTTACAGGCAAATGATATTTTTTGCAGATCTTCCAATGCACCATTGTTGCTACTTTGTTGTTGTTGTTGTTATTATTATTATTATATCTGTCACAGGGCTGTTGGATTTATATAATGCTGAACTGCAAAGTTCAGATAATAAACAGAAACCTTATGTAAAATGCCAATCACATGGGCACTATTCAGAAGGATATACACAGTGGTGTATGGATAATTGTTTAACAACTATCAGTGCCACACAACTGTTGACCTGGAATTAGGAGATAGCATAGGAAGTATCAATTGTGAATATGTGCAGATGGCCCTGCTGTCTTTTGGGCACTTGCAGAATCATGGATGCAGGATCATAAAAGGACAGCAAGGAAAACAGCCAATGTCCTAACCCACCCGGGAACGTATGATAGAAACATTCCAAAGGAAACATGTTTATTTACTTCTGCTTTCTCCCTTCTTATCTACAGCATGCCAGACATACTGGGTAAAATCTTTACCTTATATGTATCAGCTTTGCTGGGTGGATTGCTTATGTAATTGGAAAGAGTAAATATAAAGATTTCTTCTCATTCGTCTTTGTTCAGCTGAATAAAAACATAAAGCTTAAAGGGAAACTTCTGGTTTTCTGTATTTTTTTATCAAGCAAAACCTCAGAACTTGAACAGCATCACTAGCTGCAAAACGACCACAACTGACCCCAAAATTTATGCTGCTAAGTGAAACATTTGTTAAGTGAGTTTTGCCTCATTTTACAACATTTCTTGCCCCAGTTGTTAAGTGAATCTGGCTTCCCCATTGACTTTACTTATCAGAAGTTCACAAAAGCTGACCCCGGAACAATACAACCATCATTGCATTGCCAAATGTCCCCATTTTGATCACATGACCGTGGGGATGCTGCAATGGTTGTAAATGTGAAAAATGGTCATCAGCCACTTTTTTCAATGCTGCTCTGCAACTGAAGCAGGCAGTATAACAGACGTTTTTTAAAAAAGAGTGGGGCTTTGATTACACTGTTTTGCTGCCCAGGTAAATGAGTCTACCTAAGGAATGGGTCGAATAGAGGACCTCCTTTGGCCCATTCCCCAAAGGGGAACACATCTTCTGCTTCTGGACCCAGGCAGGTCTCAGTAGTACATTAAATCACAGATGGAGGCGGCCTTATGCAAGCCAATCTGGCATTTAGTAGCCCCGGTTGAATGCCAGGGCTTGTAAAAGTCTACTGACTAGACACATGGGTTGAGATCAGGGTGATGGAATGCAAAAGCAGAAAGACACCGGACAGATGTTCCTTCTGCAAGAACTTTCAGGGGTTTTCCACCTGCTTAGAAAGATTTGTAAAGGTCCAGGTGTGAATTTCCTAACACAACTGCCCCATTTGAAATTCCTTGTGTTAAATTAAGTTTGTCTTTAAGTATGCGCAGGCAGGGTCTTTCACATGGGAACAACATTCCCGTGTCCTTGTGGGTCTAACCAAGACCAAGATGCTGGAGACCTTTAATAAAATTCAGGAGACTCTTAACCTGTGTCCTAAATGAATAGAAGAATGGACCTGAACCTCATCACTCAGGTGGTAGAAAAATGGTGTGTGTGTGTGTGTGTGTGTGTGTGAGTTTCCGACAGGCCCCACCTGGAAATGAAGTCACCAGGACATGTTTATTCTACAAAAGGCTGAATGGAGATATCTTTGTTCCAGAAGGACCCTCAAAGTTTGGCCAAGAAGGTGAAGCTGCAATGATGCCATCAAAACTCCATCTTCTTACCTTTTTTAACAATAACCTTCCAGGTATACCTGGCTAGTTTTGTGTGAAATAATTTCTGGACCTTCTGCAGTGCAAAGGGAAAGGAGCAGATGGACACCCATGTGTGCTGCGATTTATGTATTAACATGTGATGCTGCAATGCAGGTACTTAATAGTGGTATTTGTATGATGATCTCACAGCATGTGGATTGTCCTTTTGGTGCCATTGTGGTTTGCTACAGATGTGTGGCTACCTCTCAACTGCACTCCCAGTTCTGAGATGGGGATGGCCGTATCAATTATTTAAATCAGGGCTTTTCAACCAGTGGTACGGGTACCACCTGTGGTACATTGGCACCTTGCAGGTGGTATGCGACCATCCTAGAAAAGTGGTAGTGGGGGAGGGGAATGAGCTGAACCGGCGGCAGCACCGCACAAGCCTGAGCGAGAGATGGCTGGAGCTGCAAGGCTGTCAGGGCTCAGCGGAAGCGCTAGGATCAGTGCCAAGCTCCATCTGGAGCTCGGCACTGATCCTGGTGCTTCTGGTGAGCCCAGAAGAAGCGCCGATCAGCTGGAATGTTGCAGCATCTCCAGGATCTTATGATTTACATTCAAATGCTTGGCAACTGATTCATATCTATGACGGTCACAGTGTCCCAGGGTCTTGTGAAGTGATCAAAACCTGCTGCAACCACCCAGCGGACGGGGGGAATAAAAACCAAACACCCCCCCCACCCCCGCCCACTGCCAATCCTCAACAGAAATGCTCACAACAATGAAAACCTCGGACAGGAGGAAGAGCGCCGCCGGGCAGGCAGGCAGGTGTCTTGCTCGGCTGTGGTTTGGGGGGCACTTTTTTCAGTGCTATTGTAACTTCGAACAGTCACCAAGCGAACTGTTGTAAGTCGAGGACTACCTGTACTTTATCATTTTTTTCCTTTTTTTTTGGTCATCGAGTTTTTGACACCTTGCTAGGCGACTGGTGGTACTCGGATGTTGCCATATCATAAAAGTGGTACAATGGGTGAAAAGGTTGAAAAGCCCTGATTTAAATATGTAAACAAATAAATTATTTAGTAAGATGATAAACGCATCAATAAATACACCTTTACTACTTTTTCTTCCATATTGTATCTAAACGAATAAGATAAAATAAAAATAATAAATACGTTTGCCCCAGCCTTTTACTACATTTTCTTCAATACTGCATCAAAATGAATGAATGGGCAAGCCCAGTCATCCTAAAATCTGTTGTTTTTGAATAAAAGGAAACACAAACTGATACGGACAGTGAATTTTTTTTTTTTATTTCTCATGTACAAAAGCACCTACAAAAAGATAATAAAGTCCTCTTCTTCTTCTTTTTTAAATCTTCTTGCTCCTTCGTGTGAATGTGGCGGAGCCGCAGGAGATAGTCTGTGGGAGAGAAATGAAAATAGAGGTCTTTGGAATTAAATTAGCCAATGGAAAGCTTCTGTAGGGATGTGAAAATATATTTCATCTCAAGCATAGCTCTTTCAAATTGGAGAACTGGGAGGAAAACGAATATTCCTTTGAATCAATGGCATTTGAAAAGGTACAGTAACCGCATTGCTGGATAAAACACAGGAATTGTATTTATTTAAGAATTCTACTCTTATTTCTGTTTCTTAATTTCAGTAACAAAATTTCTCCAGGGTCCTTCCTTTTACATCAAACAAACATAGATGCTAAAAATCTTTACTTTTGTTTTTTTCTCTTTTTAACAGAATAACAAGAGTTGGAAGGAACGTTGGAGGTCTTCTACCGTAGTCCAAACCCCTGTTTAAACGGGAGACCCTATCCCCGTGGTGGCGAACCTATGGTATGCGTGCCACAGGTGGCACGCGGCGCCGTCTCTGGTGGCACGTGAGCCATTGCTGGGCCGACCTGCTCCCTCCTCCTCTCTGTGCATGCACAGCTTTCTGTAGAGCTGCACATACGCAGTCTGGGAATAGGTGAGAGTCTATAAAGGGAGCAACTTTCGGCGGAAGCAGGCACAGAGGCAGCAGCCCTATGTGCGTCCCCATGCGCGAGCATGTCCCTGCCCTGCCAGGCAAGTGGAGCTGCGGCATTTTCAGCAGAAGAGTGCAGGCCGGAAGCGGAAGGCACGAGGAGCCCCAATCCCAGCACAGCCCCTCCTCCCCCCCTCGGAAGAACTGCGGGGCTCAGGAGCCTCCCCTCCATGTCCCCCCACTGCTGAGCAAGATGCCCTCCTGCCCACTGCCCCACCCGCCAGAGGAACATAGAGTTGGCCACGCCCACCCTGGCCACGCCCACCCAGCCTGCCATTTCCACCATAGCCACGCCTACCCAGCACCCGGCGAGATATAAGTGGGATTTGGGTTGCAGTTTGGGCACTCGGTCTCTAAAAGGTTCGCCACCACTGCCCTATCCCATTTCAGACAAATGCTGTCCAATCGCTTCTTAAAAGCCTCCAATGATGGTGCACCCACAACTTCTGAAGACAAGCTGTTCCACTGATTAATTGTCAGGAAATTTCTCCTTATTTCTAGGTTGGTTCTCTCCACGATTAGTTTCCACTATTTTTTTTTGTGCCCCACCCCTTTTACTTTTGAACACTATTTTTACCTATCTTAGAGGTCGTCTTGGATTAATTAAAAGAAAAAAAGAGAGAGGGTCACCTGTATAGGGGGAGGTTACAATTTACAAGTAATGGTGGTTGGTTGTTTTATAGCTAGTAAATCCCTTTAAGTTGACCTCAGCTCCTGATGCCTGTGTGAATACACCATGCAGTTTTCTTGCATGCTTAAGCGTAAAAAATAAGGAAGTTGACTTGGCTGGAAATCTGCAAGAATGCTTACCCAAACTATTCTAAAACCAGAATAACAGGATTATGTCTGCAAGTGACTGTGCAGATACTTCCCTGTTTCATTAAAATGAAAGAAGGCAGAGATAGAATGGACTTGCAAGATTCTGTTATTATAGCCAATGTCAATGCAGGTAATTTTAGCCTTCCTGATCTGGTCTGTTTGGGGACAGAGAGTATTTAGCCATTTTTTAAATTGCCTTTGCTTTTTCCAATTCACAACCACCAACAATTCTTTGACTTGTATTCTCTTCCTGGGCTCCAACATCAACACAGATGGGAACTGCAGCCAAGAAATTAAAAGATGCTTGCTCCCGGGGAGGAAAGCTATGGCAAATCTAGACAGCATGCTAAAAAGCAGAGACATCACCCTGCCAACAAAAGTGTGCATAGTCAAGGCCATGGTTTCCCCAGTTGCAATGTATGGTTTGAAAGTTGGAAGAAAGGCTGAGCACCAAAGAATTGAGGCCTTTGAACTCTGGTGCTGGAGAAGACTCCTGCGAGTCCCCTGGACTGCAAGGCGATCCAACCGGTCAGTCCTAGAGGAGATCAACCCTGACTGCTGTTTAGAAGGCCAGATCCTGGAGTTGAAACTCAAGTCCTTTGGCCACCTAATGAGAAGGAAGGACTCACTGGAGAAGAGCCTGATGCTGGGAAAGATGGAGGGCAAGAAGGGGATGAGAGAGAAGGAAGTGGCTGGATGGAGTCACTGAAGCAGTAGGCGTGAGCTTCAAATGGACTCCAGAAGATGGTAGAGGACAGGAAGGCCTGGAGGAACATTGTCCATGGGGTCGTGATGGGTCAGACACGACTTTGCAACTAACAACAACAACAACAAATCTGTAACATCTAAGCCAGAGTTTTCCAACCATGGCAAACTTTAAGAGCTGTGTACTTCAACTCCCGTAATTCTGGCAGTTGAAGTACATAGGTCTTAAAGTTGGCATGGTTGAGAAACGGTGATCTAAGTTTAAACTTTACAATTTGTGCTTCCAGTGAACTGTCTGGATTGGCTTCATTCTTCCTGCAGGCGCAAGAGAGTGTTACCATTGTTCTCCAGCACATTTCAGCCTAGTGTGTGGTAAAATCTCAGCTTGTATATCATGCAGACTGAGAGAACTGCGTTAATTGAAGAAACTGTGGTTCCCTATTCTCTATGGCTGTGCCAGCGAAACACAGGCATTTGAATCAACTGAACCTTACCTTCCTGGAGGAAATGAATTTTTTTGTTCTTCCTGTCTATTAAACTATAAACTATGAACATTGACTTACCTCCACCATTTCATTGCCTACAATTTGTTGCTCGTGGATGAATTTGTCTGACTTGGCTATTAATTTTCCATCAGTGAGATTTACTGTGCACTGTAAAACAATGAAACCATTACCGAACATGGATCAAACAGCAAGAAACAGAAAGAGAGTTTAAAAAAAGAGGGCAGCAAAACAACTAGGTCCAAGCCACCAAAAGCTGGAAAGATAATGTTATAAAAAAAAAAAAAATCAAGGGGAAAAAAAAAGAGAATTGTGCTGCAGTTACAATCTTGTTAATAAAATGCAGAGATATTTTGCCATGGATTTCAGCAGAAAAGACTTCCTGCAGTTGTTCCCAGAGTGCTTTTTCCAAAAAGCAACTGAACTTTCTTGATTTTGTTCCCTTTGAAAACATTTTGCTTCCCATCCAAGAAGTTTTTTCAGTTCTAACTTGGAAAAGAAGCAAAATATTTTCAAAGGAAAAAAGCAAGGAAGTCCAGGTGTGTTTTGGAAAAAGTACCTTTGACCATGACCTGGATGATTGAGAATCTCCATAGACATTTAATAATAATAATAATAATAATAATAATAATAATAATAATATTAATAGTAATAATAATAATAATAATAATAATAAGAGGTTGGAAGGGACCTTGGAGGTCATCTAGTCCAACCCCCTGCTCAGGCAGGAAACCCTATACCATTTCGGACAAATGGCTGTCTAGTCTCTTCTTGAAAACTCCCAGTGTTGGAGTATTCACCGCTTCTGGAGGCAGGTTGTTCCACTGATTAATTGTTCTAACTGTCAGGAAGTTTCTCCTTAATTCTAGGTTGCTTCTCGCCTTGATTAGTTTCCATCTGTTGTTTCTTGTCCTTTCCTCAGGGGCTTTGGAGAAGAGCTTGACTCCCTCTTCTTTGTGGCAATCCCTGAGATATTGAAACACTGCTATCATGTCCCCCCTCATCCTTCTCTTCATTAAACTAGACATACCCAATTCCAGCAACTGTTCCTTATATGTTTTAGCCTCCAGTCCCCTAATCATCTTTGTTGCTCTTCTCTGTACTCTTTCTAGACTAGAGTCTCAACATCTTTTTTACATCGTGGTGACCAAAACTGGATGCAATATTCCAAGTGTGACCTTACCAAGGCATTGTAAAGTGGTATTAATACTTCATGTGATTTCCTACAGTCTGTCCAAAAAATCATAAAAAAAAATCTAAGATGGCTGGTTTCAGGTTTGGAGTCTTCATAGTTAGCCTTAAGATTTTCAAGGCAAGGAGACATTTGTTCATCCATCCATCCATCCATCCATCCATCCATCCATCCATCCATCCATCCAACTTTCATATTTTTTAACTGACCATCTCTCTCAGAGAGAGACTCTGGGCAGTATACAACAAAAGGTCAAAGAGTTGAGTCTGGGCTCACCTTGACTTTTTTCCCATCCATGGTAGTCATGTCTGCTTCTTTTCCCAGCGTGAACGTGTTTGTAACAGACTTGTTGGGGGTTTTCGAGGTGATCACAAAAGTATTCCCGGTCTGACGGATTTCAGTAATGGGCTTGATGTCTTTGGCAGTTTTAATGATATCATCTGACAGGGCTGAGGAAGGTGGGAAAGAGGATGTAATTTCTGAAGCCAAAGGCACTGAAATTAATGATCATAGATGCAGAGGATTTAAAAAAAAAAGCTGTGTTGGATAAGACCAAGGGCTGAGAGATATGGAAAAGGCATGGAGGACAACAGGGTCAAATGACACATTTCAAGGTGAGTTCATGCCAAATAACTAGGCAGATAAAGATTTTTCATTCAATGAAGGGAAAATCATCGGTGAATACATAATTTCAAGAGCTTTTTCAGTATTTGGGGTTTCTTCCTACACCCTTTTGATATGGATTTCAGGTGTGGAGGAAAACCATCACATGGACACAGCATGCAGAGAGAGAAAATGTGTGGGTCTGTGCAGGAGATCATTGAGCCTTTGAGCATCTTAGAGCTTAAAAATAGATGCTGTAAATCAATATTTCTCAACCAGGGCAAAATGTCTGGAATTCAGCCCTGAGAATTCCCATTTTCCTTAATCAGTACGTCAAACGGGCCCTCAGCATTCTTCCGATACTTGAATAGGAGACCACCAGAAAATTCAACAACTGTAGACCAGACCGGTATGAAATGTCTGGATGGTAGTGGGAATCTCAGAGGAGAACAGTGCAACACTTCCATTTTATTGTCAATAATGTTGCAGGGATATCTTTAGAAGTCACCAGCTGACTGAAAGGAGACCGCTGTTGGCCAGAGAATACTTGAAGCTGGTCCACAAATTTGAAGATTGCCAAGGTTGAGAAACATTGCTCTAAATGACTCCTTCAAACTCCTGCTTTCCTTTGGTAGTTGTTCAAACCTTTAAAGACAAGTTACGGAGCTTATAGTCTTCTTCTGCTCATCTGGTAATGCCAATTAACCAGTGCTCTCCCTAGCACCTCCCTTAAGGACAGCTTCCATACCTGAATTGTGTGTCAGATGAAGAATCACGCTATCTTTGTTAAAAATAAAGATTCTGAGGTTTGCAGGAAAAGAGCAGTTGAAATGGTTGGAGAATTAAGTCCACAAGTCTTAAAGTTGCTAAGATTGGACACCTCTGCCCTATACAGCATAGCCAGGACAAATAGAGGCCATACATTGAAGCTTAGTTATTCTGTTAGAGTGTATGAGATGTTTACAAAGGAAAAAGGTAGAACAGTGTATGTGTGTACAGCCCTTTGACTCGTTTTGGGCAACATTTTGAAAGTAGTTAGCTGTTGCCATCTTTCTAGGGCTGAAAGAAGAAGACTGCCCCAAAGTCACTTAGTTGGTATCTATGACTCAGCTTAACTAGAACTTCAGTTTCCTGTTCCACATCCAGCCTCTTTACTGCTAAACGAAACTGACTGCCAGGGGGATGTTTACTGTACAAAATCCAAATACTCAGTGGTATTCTCAAGATGGAATTAAAAACACCTCCTATGATCACAAAGGAATGTAAGGGTTTTATTTGTGCAAAGCAGCTAAAACGTGGGCAAGGCTTTGATTGCATTGTCTTGATGCCATTTTACATGTCTGGACATTCTGTGAACACCACTGTAAATAACTGAAATTGTAGCCATGACTTCTTAGACTTTTCATCCCAGATTTAACAAAATTACACCCGTATTCATATCCTTCAGCCCAATGTTTCCCAATTTTGACCATTTTTAGACATGGTCTTCAACTCCCAGAATTTCCCAGCCAGTCAGGTCCACACATGTTAAAATTGCCAAGGATGAGAAACACTATCTAGCTACAGGTAAGGACCAGTCCTTCCTCCTTGAGTTTGAGTAACTGTACTGTAGGACTACCCTAAACCAGGGCTTTTCAACCAGTGGTACAGGTACCACCTGTGGTACATTGGCACCTGGCAGGTGGTACGTGACATTCTAGAAAAGTGGTAACGGTGGAGGGGAATGAACTGAACCAGTGGCAGCACCGCACAAGCCTGAGCGAGAGATGGCTGGAGCTGCAGGGCTGTCAGGGCTCAGCAGAAGCGCCAGGATCAGTGCCAGGCTCCAGCTGGAGCCTGGCGCTGATCCTGGCGCTTCTGCTGAGCCCAGAAGAAGTGCTGATCAGCTGAAATGTTGCAACATCTCCAGGGTCTTGTGATTTACATTCAGATGCTTGGCAACTGATTCATATTTATGATGGTCACAGTGTCCCAGGGTCATGTGAAGGGACCAAAACCTGCTGCAACCACCCAGCAGACAGGGGGGAATACAAACCAAACACCCCACCCCACCCCCCCTGCCAATCCTCAACAGAAATGCTCACAACAATGAAAACCTCGGACAGGAGGAAGAGCACCGCCGGGCAGGCAGGCAGGTGTCTTGCTCGGCTGTGGCTTGGGGGGCACTTTTTTCAGTGCCATTGTATCTTCGAACAGTCACTAAGTGAACTGTTGTAAGTTGAGGACTACCTGTACTTTATCACTTTTTTCCTTTCTTTTTTTTTAGTCATCGAGTTTTGGACACCTTGCTAGGCGACTGGTGGTACTCGGATGTTGTCATATCCTAAAAGTGGTACAATGGGTGAAAAGGTTGAAAAGCCCTGCCCTAAACAACTGTTTTGCTCCTCATTGTAGGTTGCTTAGCTTTTCAGTTTTCCTCTTACCCAGAGGACAAAATTAAATCAGGTCTCCACTAAAAACCTCAGATTCTGCTTCAGAGATCCTGTTCGTTTTGGAAAAAAAAAAAGGCTGTAGCTTACCAATTGCTTTCAGGAAGTCTTCGTACTTTTCTTGGGTGTAGACTTGCCAGGTACCATCAAATGCCATGTTGGCAATGCCGCTGGATGCTTCTGATTGGGAAAGGCCAATGGGGCATCTCCTGGTGCTGGTTGCCTTTATACAGAAGGGAAATTCTTTGCTCTGCCCAAATCTGAGCTGTGCACTCTTGAGCCATCAATCATTAATCTTCCATTTGTACTTTGTGAGAGTAACCTCTCGTTCATCATGCCAGAAAAAGCTTTGGCAGACTCCATAGAAGAATATTATTTGCTGAATTCCATGGTCAAGTTCAAGTTATCATCTGTAAGGAAAAAAACCCCTCTTATTTCTACTTCTAAATTTTATATCTGAAAACCACATCAGTCTATTTCTATTTCGAATTGAGGCTTCCCCATATTTCTGACCCTGAAAAAGCAGCTCTTTGGCTTGTTTATCTTGTGAATTAATTAATTAATGGTTGGTCACATTGGCTAAATCCCATAGAATCACATTTATCAAGAGTTGAACTAATTCAGAATATAAAGCATGTCAACAGGTGAAACCTGAATAAAATGTCAGTATCAGGTTAAATTAAACGGGCCATCAGGGCTGTGAAGAAAAATAGGGACTAAGTATCTGACTGGGTTTATTCATAATGCTGAATTTTTCAATAAGCCAAACTTATGCATTCATAATGCTTAAGTATGGCTTATTGGATAAACCCCAATTGACAGAGTAAAAAAAAAACATTCAGTTGAACCCAAGAACAAATTAAACAATAATGTGGTTAGATGGGTTCTGATTAATCATGCATGAACGCAGCCATGGCAGTTTGTAAAGTATATCACAACATTTGAACATAGCAATTGTGATTATGAAAGAAACCATGGCCATATCAACATAGTGTAGATGATGTGTGAACTTAGCTACTAGAGGGGAAAAAAAGGTTACTACCAAACAATATTTCCTGGATGGGATTATTTCACTCACACTTTTCTTAAAGTAGCTGTCAGTTTTCCTGTAGCCACACCACATACTCACACTGAACCCTTACTGGGCTGGCTGAGGAATTCTGGGAGTTGAAGTCCATAAGTCTTAAAGTTGCCAAGTTTGAAGACCCCTGTTCTAGTACTTGAAGAGTATTTGAAGAGACCACTAGAAAATCCAAGGACTGTAGTGTAGTGATGTAAAATGGGGAAAATAAATTATAGAGACGAGCAGTGCAACAGTTTCAATTTTTTTTTGCCACGAATGCAGTGTGGACATCTTTGAAGCTGGGTTCAATTCACAGGAGGTGGCAATACAACTGTCAAGTCTGCAATTATTGGTAGATTTGTGCAAGAAGAGAAGAGAGAAAGGCACAAAAGACCTGGCAGCTGATGCTTAAGCATTCTGGCTGAGAGACAAATCATAGTGATGACTCATCAGCTAGACACCAATGTTGGGTAACTTCAGCAGGATGAATATGCGGCAACCTTATTTGACAGGGCATTACTCAATTTGTACCTGGTCATAGCTGAGCCACTTCAGCCAACTTTCTAGATATCCATCCATGAAACTACTGTAAAATCAGCCAACATTCTTCTGACTTTCCATTTCTTTCCTGTGAGAATATTTAGAAAACAATGAGCAATTAACACCTTCTCTTATTCTGTATAGAAATAAAGAGTTTTGTCTTTCTTGAGTGCGGACATTGGGTTCTTAACACCGGGTATTCTTACCTAGCCAACAATTCCCTTAGCATAATGAATGAGACCATCATGCTGAGCTCCGAATCAGTTTATTTGGGCAAAGCCTCTGTCCTATTATATCTACCCGGCCCACCAGGATGGGAAGGCAGGGCATGTTACGGAGCCCATCGATTATAGATTATCATCTTCTGGGACCATGAAAAAGGGCCTTTACGGTGAAGGACCATTCTTTGTGGAACATCATTCCTCCTGAGATACAGTTGTTCCCATCCTCCTGTTGCTTCTCCTGGGCTTTTAGTGGGTCCAGGGACCATGAACAGAGATGGAGGCAATCGAGTGGCTGATTTGATTGTGTTGTTGCTGCCGTGGGAGGGAGGGAGGATATTTTTAAAAATGTTATAAGCTGCCTGGAGCCAGCTATGTAAGAGTTGGGCGGCTATATAAATTTGTGAGAGAAAGAAAGAAAGAAAGAAAGAAAGAAAGAAAGAAAGAAAGGAAAGAAATCCTGTTGCGCAAAAACAGTTGTAGTCTATTAATCCATATTTATAATAATAATAATAAAGTTGGAAGGGACCTTGAAGGTCATCGAGTCCAACCCCCTGCTCAGGCAGGACACCCTATACCATTTCAGACACATGGCTGCCCAGTCTCTTCTTAAAAACTTCCAGTGTTGGAGCATTCACTGCTTCTGGAGGCAGGTTGTTCCACTGGTTAATTGTTCTAACTGTCAGGAAGTTTCTCCTTAGTTCCAGGTTGCTTCTCTCCTTGATTAGTTTCCATCCGTTGCTTCTTGTCCTGCCTTCAGGCGCTTTGGAGAATAGCTTGACTCCCTCTTCTTTGGGGCAGCCCCTGAGATATTGGAACACTGCTATCATGCCCCCCCTCGTCCTTCTCTTCGTTAAACTAGACATACCCAATTTGCAACTCGATGTTTCTCCCCTGCTAGCAAATACTCTGACCTGCAATGGGGGCGCATTGAGCTAAAATGCCAAAGAGTTCAGTGACTTTCAGCACCTTTACTCAACACCATTGTTTCTTCCTGTCCTGACCTTGTGAAGCTAAAATTTAAGCTAATCTCTTCAAAGATCTGCTGGATGCACAGAATGGGGAGAGAGGGGGCATCAATGTGCACACTTTTTCTTGCAGGAAATCAGGGTCTTGGGAACCTCCATTCATCCAGCGGTCACACTTTGGAGTGTCTCACTGAAAAATGCAAGTGCCACTGCAAAATGCCATCATTATTTATTTCTGTTTTTTTTTTTGTAAGCTGCCCCAGTGCTGGAGCTGGGCAGCCATATATGTTTCTTAAATAAATACGATCGCAATCATACTGTCCAAATCCAACTATTTATTTAGCAAACGGTAGAGCAAGTCAGCAAAGATATAGTAGTGCCAGGAAATCATTGAATCTGAGTCTGAAAAAATATCTGTGAATATTTGCAGTCTCAAGCTAGGCCTGAGTGATTCCATTCACACATCATCCTAAGATACTGTATGGTTTATTTCCATTGTATTCTCAGAAATGAAAGCAAGTCTACGTCTCTCAGGATAATGTTGCAGGATCCAATCTGGATTGGTCACCGGGACCAAAGGTTTAGTCTTCTGAGCTTATGCTGGAGCCCATAATATTTAGTCCAAAGCCCACATTCCAGTAGAGAGAAGTTTCTTGAGGAAATGCATGCTAATGAGTTCAAAAGACTAAACCTCTGATCCCAGTGACCAACCCAGATTGGATCCTGCAAGATTATCCTGGGAGACGTATATTTGCCTTCATTCATAAGATTGGATCCAATAGAAGTAAAGGAAAGGTCTTCAAAATTTAATATTGAAAGAGAAATTTAAAATTGAATTTGCTGCAGTGGAAACTTACTGAGTGGAGAAACAAGCTTATAATAGACGGGAAACAGGAAAATGTAGCATCAACAGAGGAAATAAAGCAAACATGTAGGCAAAAAATTAGCTGAGTCTTAGAGAAAGGGAAGAGGACAAACTATATAAAAAAATAGCTGTAAGAGGAAATGGCTAGCCAGGAAAGGGATAGTGAATTGAAAAACAGGAAAACAAGCTGAATAAGATAAGAGCAGTAGTGGGATTCAGCTACTTCGCACCAGTTCAGCAGAACCGGTAGCTAATTTTTTGTTGCCCAGGCCCAGAATGGACTTCCAGAAGCGGCATCCACACAGAGAACCGGTTGTTCACATAATTGAATCCCACCACTCCTTCCTTCCTTCCTTCCTTCCTTCCTTCCTTCCTTCCTTCCTTCCTTCCTTCCTTCCTTCCTTCCTTCCTCCCTTCCTCCCTTCCCTTCCTTTCCTTCTTTCCTTCCTCCCTGTGGTGGGATTCAGTCACTTCGCACCAGTTCAGCAGAACCAGTAGCTAATTTTTTATTTCCCAGGCCCAGAAAGGACTTCCAGGAGCAGCATCCACACAGAGAACTGGTTGTTCACATATTCAAATCCCACCACTCCTTCCTTCCTTCCTTCCTTCCTTCCTTCCTTCCTTCCTTCCTTCCTTCCTTCCTTCCTTCCTTCCTTCCTTCCTTCCTTCCTTCCTTCCTTCCTTCCTTCGGTGGGATTCAACCAGTTCGCACCACTTCGGCAGAACCGATAGCTAATTTTTTTCTTGCCCAGGTCCAGAATGGACTTCTGGAAGTGGCATCCACCCAGAGAACCAGTTGTTCACATATTTGAATTCCACCACTGGATAAGAGGAAAGGCATACTGAACTGAAAAACAGAGAAGAACCTATTTTTCTAAGAAGTCATAAAAAGGGGGGCCATAAATAGCCACAGAATTCAAAATAACCATTTAAATCAGTCTGATTTTTCTTATTATTATTGTACATGTGAATATGATTTAATATGTTAGCAGGAAATGTGTAAGAAGCAGACAGAAAGAGTGTAACCTCATAGTACCTCAGCCAATGGGGAAAGAGGAGGGATGCGTCGGCCAGGACAGGGTTGTATAAAAAAGGGAATATTTTGGGTTGGAACAATGGAGAGAACCAAGCTTTGAAAGCTTCTCTCCCTGCTTATCGCAATAAACAAAACAAAAGGCCTTCACTGTGTCTTGGCTGGTTATTGGTCAGGCGAGCTTGCCTTGGGCCACGAAGGAAAGTAGCCAAGAGCACATAACAGATCCATTGTATTCTGTTTAATAATAATAATAATATAAATAAAAAATAAAAATAAATAAAAAAATAAAAAATAAAAATAATAATAAAGCTGGAAGGGACCTTGGAGGTTATCAAGTCCAATCCTCTGCTAAGGCAGGTAACCCTATATCATTTCGAACAAATGGCTGTCCAGTTTCTTCTTAAAAACTTCCAGTGTTGGAGCATTCACCGCTTCTGGAGGCAGGTTGTTCCACTGGTTAATTGTTCTAACTGTCAGGAAGTTTCTCCTTAGTTCTAGGTTGCTTCTCTCTTTGGTAAGCTACAATAGTTAGGTTTGCTCATAGTGCTAAGCCATAAACTATGGTTTACAAATCACAGTGTCTGATTTTATGATTTGAGCCCGTGGGCCACAGGCACCCCTTGGAAATCTTGGGGCGAATGACTTTCAGCGCTCTCCCACAGTAATTACCAGTTTGTATTTGTTTCTGCACGTGAAAGGAAATAGATTGAACATTACCTGGAAACTAATCATTTTGATTACAGTAAATTGAACTTTAATTCAATATTGTTCGATGTGAAATAGAGCCCAGCTTAACCATCACCTGATCCCACCCACTGGATTTAAGAATGTGAATCACACTCCAAAATATACACTTCATCCTGTTTAATAGCGTCACACTATACAGCATGTGAAGTCCTTCTGCTGTGGCTTGAATTGCAACCACAACCGGGATCAGAATTTTCATTGCTAAGCAAGGTGGTTGTGACGCGAGCCATGCCCAATTTTGTGAACTTTTTGCCACAGTTGTTAAGCAAATCACGCAGCTGTTAAGCGCATGGTGCGGTGGTTAAATGAATCCAGCTGCCCCCACTGACTTTTCTTCTCGGAAGCCAACTGGGAAGGTCACAAGTGAGGACCATATGATCCTGGGATGCTCTCAGGTGTGCCAACTTGGCGCCTTGCTGGCATCGTGCCATCAAAGGCCAGGAGGGAGGGGGGGCGTATGGGGGAGGGAAAAACGGGCAATACATGTGTATGAGTAAGTGATGGGAAATGATAGTTTGACCAAGACCAGAGAACCAATTTGTGCCAGCACTCGAGGCCGTGGACCCTGGGAAACATCTCCCTGTCCTAAGGTGACCAACCGTCCTCCTTTAGGGAGGACAATGCTCCTTTTGTAAGTTCTGTCCTCCCTCAAAAAGTGTCCTCCTTCATGTCCTCCTTTTCGATATTTGAAGACTAATCTGCAGGGCTTTTTTTTCCCCTCATAGAACGCTCAGAATGGCGTTCCAGCACCTCTTTTTTTTTTGATGGGTTTTGTTTTCAACTTTTGCATGAGCTGTGCTACTCCCGCTATTGGCTTTCAAAAGCCAATAGGAATTGCTGCTGAGTGCGCCAAAACACCCGGCCGACAAACTTGGCACATGCAAGTTGTCTGTATTATTGTTGCAATGAATAAAATGTTTCTTTTATTTATGATATTTTTTTCCCTTCAATTTATTTGTGTCCTCCTTTTCATTGTAAAAAAGTTGGTCACCTTACTAAGGGGCCTACCTGGGGCAGGTCAGACAGATGCTGTAACTGTTATAAATATATCTCAGTTGTCAAGGGCCTGAATTTCGATCACATGACTGTGGGGATGCTGCAATGGCCGTAAAGGTGAGTCTCTTTTTTCCAGTGGCCATTGTAACTCCAAAAACTTGCTGTAGGTTGAGCACTACATGTATTCAATAAAAGGGTGAAAACCCACCTGGCTTACGGAAATGTATGAACTCATCATACCGGGGTTTGTTGTTGTTTTTTTTTGAGCTAAAACCAGTAACAGCCATATCTTCACCGGCTCTTGATTTCCTTTCTGGATATATATGTTTTTGTTTTTTGGTTTTTTTTAAATAATTTTTTATTTTTCCAAACTCTCTCCCATACATATACCGTGATATTTATCAGATGTTAACATACATTCTTTTAACATTCATATATAAGATACTTTTAATAAAGTGAAATAAATACATACCCATGACTTTTGGTGTTGCTCGCCCATTTCCCCTTTCACTGTATCCACACGCCTTCTTCTCTACCTTCTTTCTCCCTTTCTTCTCTTCCCTACTTCCCTCTTCTTCCTCTCCTCTCCTCTTTCCTTCACCACTCCCCTTTCTCCCCACTTCTCCTCTTCTCCTCCAACCTTCCTACTTCCTTCTCCCCTCCTTTACTCTTTTCTCTCTCCTCTCCTTTCTTCCCTCTCACTGGATATACCGTATATTCCAGCATATAGGGCGACCCGACATATAAGACGACCCCCGAGTTCGACGCCAGGTTGCAAGACGATTGACATTGAGTTGCATGCCTAGAAAGTCATCTTATATGCCGGAAACTACCGGTATTTCCAGCGTATAAGACGATCGACGCCGAGTCGCATGCCTAGAAAGTCGTTTTATATGCCAGAAACTACATTATTTCTGGTGTATAAGATGACTCGGTGTATAAGACGACCCCCGAGTTCAGAGGCTGTTTCAACGCTCTCAAAAGTCGTCTTATACGCCGGAATACACGATATATGTTTGAAAGCATTGAAAAACACTGAGAGGCAGGCAAGAGACCTGATGCCAATCCTCTTATGGGGCTGGAGGCTGACTTTTATAAAATATCTATAAATATCATAAGCCTATGATCCTGCTCAGAGAGTGGCAATGGTAGGGTAGGAGATGGGGCGATGGGTCTTTCTTTGCAATGAAGAAGGACCACCCTCTTCTATTGGGTGATGCCCTCTGGACCTGGCCAAGCCCTTAGAACGGAACCTGGGCGGTTCAGACAGAAGGTGGCTCATCTTTCAGCTCCTGAGGCTCTTCCCCCTGCTTGTAGACGCTGACTGTCACCTTCCCAGTTTCAGAGCCCCACTTGTTCTTGACGAGGATGCTGAACCTCCCAGTGTCCTCGCTGTTGACATTCTCAATGGTTATTGTGATCACGGTACCCTTCACTTCCATCTTGTACCGATCTTTGAAGGCAATGACCTTCTCATTCCTGTACCAGGTGATTTCTGGGTAAGGATCTCCAGAGATGATGCAAGTCAAGCACAAAGTCTGTTTTAGAAATAAAGAAAGGGTTCATTGTAGGACTTCAGATTGGAGAGTGAAAGGCAAGGCAGATAGGCAAGGCAGTTATACCCAGGGGACAGGTAAGACTGTGTCCATCAGTACCAATGTATGGGGCAGACAGCCCCCTTTATGCCCTCTAGGATCCCTGTCCCTCTTGCCCCCATGTTAGGGTATTCTTATGAACCCCCAAAGGGAGCTACGATTCCCAGAAATTAAATTGAAAATAGATATTTCTTTCTAGAAAGTTTGCAATGCTACGAGATTGCTATGTCAGCATTCTTGCATGAGTTTTCATGGGTCTCACACCAGATCTTGTGGGAACCAGGAAGTGATGGTTGGAAACACTGAGGACCTTATATTTTGGGGAAGAAGAGGAGAGACAGTTGGAGTTGTGCAATGAATCTGGTGCCTGGAAGGATTGCACAAAGGCACACACGAAGAGAGATCGAATGTTGCAAGGCCTGCCTTATCAGTTGCCAATATTGTATAAATGGTAATGCAAGAGTCCCTTATATAATTCAGGGTTCCCACAGCAGTTAGTCCCCATTTGCACAGCTGGAGGCCATCCAAGACAATTCATTACCTTACTTTCCATGATGGTTGCAACATCTGGAAGGCCACGAACCACTTTGGCACGGTCTGTAGAGGGAGAATAGACATCATGATTGGCTATTCAGTTTTTGATCCCACTTTTTGGGGTCTCTCTCTCTCTCTCTCTCTCTCTCTCTCTCTCTCTGTCTCTGTCTGTCTCCTTACCTACCTACCTAGCTAGCTATTTAGCTATCTAGCTATCATCTATCTATCATCTTTATTATTTTTACAACTCAGGGCAGCGAACATATCCAACACACCTTCCTCCTATTTTCCTCACAACAGCCCTGTGAGGTGAGTTGGACTGAGAGACAGTGACTGTCCCAAGATCACTCAACTGACTTTGGACCTACGGTGGGATTAGAACTCATGGTCTCCCACTTTCTAGCCAGAGGATGTCTAAATACTTTAGAGCAGCGGTTCTCAACCTTTGTGTGTGTGGTGCCGCCCCCTGAGGGGGAAAAATTGGCGGATTGCGTTGTTTGGCGACCCCTGTAAAATGGTCGTTCGACCCCAAATGGGGTCGCGACCCATAGGTTGAGAACCGCTGCTTTAGAGGTTAATCATGTTACTGGTCCAGGCTGCCTTACATTGCTAAGATCAAGGTATGGAGCAGATTACCTTGGAAGCAAGTGAGTGTTATTAGAAGCTTTTAAGCAGAACCAGTGTACAATTCAATAACAGCAGATTTTTTTTTCAGAGGCCAAAGATTGGATCTATTAAATTCTATGACTCTTTCATGCAACGGCAAAACAAGAATCTGATAATAATCATAGGGCTGAAAGGGACCTTGGTGATCGTCTATCCCAGGGGTAGGCAACCTTGGCTCTTTTATGACTCGTGGACTTCAACTCCCAGAATTCCTGAGCCAGCATGGCTCAGCTTGGAAACCTCTCCTTTTCCCCTCAACATGGCTGGCTCAGGAATTCTGGGAGTTGAAGTCCACGCGCCATAAAAGAGCCAAGGTTGCCTACCCCTGCCTTATACTTATCCAGCACAAATGGTTGTCTAATCTTTTCTAGAAAAGTTCTTGCTTGTTTTTTTTTTTTTATGTACAAGGTACTTCAGTTACAAACTGAGTAACTGCATTCACACAACGCCTTGAGCTGGGTTGATGTTCATCTCAGTCTGCTTCTTTGCAACTTGGGATGTTGCATTAACCCAAGCCATCAGATTATTTTGCAATTTGCTGTTTTGTGTGAACCTAGGATGTTGGGTAATTCACTGACTGGCTGAAGGAATGTTGTGTATGGTAAATATATTTGTTCAGTTGAGGATCAGGTTAGATAGATGGGAAGGAATGGCTTGAAGTGTGAAATTCAAACCAGGAGTTTTTTCAGGTAACCCAAGCACCTCTGGAGGTGCATCTTTGTTGGAGAAGATCCCTTGCTGTTGAAGGAATATTTATTTCCTTTCGATTTGTGCTGCTTCCAACTTTGTAAAAGCAGCAGATTTGAAAAGACACCCTGGATTCAAAGTAAGCTGAGTCATACTGGTTGCCCTTTTATTTGTGTACTGTCTCCAGGGTATCCAGGGTGGACTTCTTGTTTTTTTTTTTTACTATTTTTATTTTTTTCTATTTTGTGTTTTTACTGTTTGTAAGCCACCTAGAGACGGCGAGTAGGTGGCTAGATAAAACAAACCCATCTCCCATGACTGCAACAGACAAAAAACAAAAAAACAAAAAACCAAACCAGCAAAAGTTGCATCTTTTTATACTCACATTCCTCCACAACAGCTGCTTGCCTACAAGGAAAACAAAACAAAAGGCATTTTTATGTCACACACAGTACCTAAATTTCACCAAAGAAACCACAGGATTAAATGCAAGACCCGTCTCCCAGCCCTGGAGTTACTACATTTTGGCTACACAACAATCCCAAGTACTGGATGTGTCAGGTTTCTTAGCTAAAGCATCCATCCACCAGATCTTACAGCAGGAGGTATCCAATCCCCATGCCATAGCTTCGGCACTAACATAGTTGAAGCCAAAAACTGGATTCCCCTCCCATAAGCACATAGTATCAAAGCACAATTCCCTCCTCCAATTAACAGTCATAAATCACATTCTCCAATTAATTTGAAATGCAGGCTTTCCCTCCTTTACTCCAACCCACCATTTCTTATCATCTCTTATTTCAAAAGCCCTGAGTTCACACACTATTACAATATTCTTATGTCTAACTAACTCCCATCACATTCATCTTCCCTCCCCCAGTATCATCTAATTCTAAGAGTAAAGCATAAGAAAGAAAAAGGCTGCATCTTCATATGTTGTCAAAGCAAGAACACCCAATGTTAGCAGCACTGACATCCCAGGCCATAGTTTGGTTCTGGCCTGTGGCCTGTTTGGAACTGCTTGTGCAAGTGGATCTGTGTGCATGAGCGTGCGTGCCCACTCTTGTGCAGAACCATCCCCTCTTCCCCCCCCCAAGCCACAACCTCACTCTACTTACTTCAGCCTTTGATGTTCGGCGAGGGCATCATCGAAAGCTATAGAAAGCAAGCAAGCAAGAAAAGGGTTGGCTTGAAGAAATGGCAACTATATGCACTGTGGAAAAAGAGCTAATAAAATGTTTCCATTTCAATATCTATTTTTATATATTAAGGCAGTTATAGGAATTGCCATTAGAACCCAGAATTATCATAGATAAATACAGTTTTTTTAATTATACTCTCAAACAGAAGCACTCAAGTCCTCACACAAGCTGTCAGGGGAATTTGCATTGAAAAGAAAAGAAAAGATATCATTAGAAATTAAAATCAAAATTAATTCAGGTATTCCTTGACTTGTTGGAATTAAGATTGCTGGGAGAAATATCAACAACCTAAGATATGCAGATGATACCACTCTAATGGCAGAAAGTGAAGAGGAACTAAAAAGCCTCTTGATGCGGGTGAAGAAGGAGAGTGCAAAAGTTGGCTTGAAAGTCAACATTAAGAAAACCAAGATCATGGCATTCGGCCCTCTCAATTCCTGGCAAACAGATGGGGAAGAAATGGAGATAGTGACAGATTTTATCTTCCTGGGCTCCAAGATCACCGCAGATGGGAACTGCAGCCAAGAAATTAAAAGATGCTTGCTCCTGGGGAGGAAAGCTATGGCAAATCTAGACAGTATACTAAAAAGCAGAGACATTACCCTGCCAACAAAAGTGTGTATGGTCAAGGCCATGGTTTTCCCAGTTGCAATATATGGCTGTGAAAGTTGGACCATAAGAAAGGCTGAGCGCCAAAGAACTGAGGCCTTTGAACTCTGGTACTGGAGAAGACTCCTGCGAGTCCCTTGGACTGCAAGGCGATCCAACAGGTCAGTCCTAGAGGAGATCAACCCCGACTGCTCTTTAGAAGGCCAGATCCTGAAGTTGAAACTCAAATACTTTGGCCACCTAATGAGAAGGAAGGACTCACTGGAGAAGAGCTTAATGCTGGGAAAGATGGAGGGCAATAGAAGAATGGGATGACAGAGAAGGAGATGGCTGGATGAAGTCACTGAAGCAGGAGGCGTGAGCTTCAATGGACTCCAGAAGATGGTAGAGGACAGGAAGGCCTGGAGGAACATTGTCCATGGGGTCACGATGGGTCGGACACGACTTCGCAACTAACAACAACAACAATTCCTTGAATTACAAGCACAATTGAGCTGAAAACTGCTGTTGCTAAGTGAGACATTTGATAACTGAATTTTGCCCCATTTTACCATCTTTCTTGCCACAGTTAAATGAATCACTACAGTTCTTAAGTTAGTAATACGGTTGTAAAGTGAGTCTGGCCTTCCCCATTGAGATTTCTTGTCAGAAAGTTGCAAAAGTGGGTCACCTGACCCTGGGATGCTGCAACCGTCTTAAATATGAGTCAGTTGTCAAGCGTTTGAATTTTGATCACGTGACCATAGGGATGCTGCAATGGTCCTAAGTGTAAAAAACAGTCCTAAGTCACTTCTTTCAGTGCTGTTGCAACTTCAAACGGTCACTAAATGAACCGTTGTAAGTCATCAACTTCCCATAAAAAAGAATGAAAGGGAAACATAGAAGGGTTCAGCTATAGCATAGGTAAAGGGCAATCTTCTAATAATCTGTAAAAATAAATTGCCATGCTGTGTAAGGAAAAGCTGGCTTTTGAAAGAGTATTGATGCTTTTGAAGCTTGCAAAAGATGCCTGAGAATATCACAGACAGCAAAGAAAACAAACAAATGAAACCTAGAACAAATCAATCCTAAACAGCACCAATATTTTAGATGGATTATGCAAAGACCTTGCTCTCACGAGAAGTCTATAATATGTGGTCCTTGTGCTCTCTCAGCTTTGTGATTTTCTTGAAGATGATTCATTACCCCACCGGGTAACACCATCAGTGCTAGAAGGTGATGGGATTTTTACCTTTCCCAGATAGGTCAGTTGTCAATCTGCGCATTTCTTTCCCATCCGTGAGGTCCAGGGTATATTTGCCTCGGTCGGACTCTTTGGGATCAAGGATGTGAAGCCAAACCTGGTCCATGGTTGTTCCTACTTTCAAATGATCTCCTCCTTCCAGACGCTTGTCACTGAAGGAACAGCAGGAGATTAGGTTGTCAATTAATATACAGCCTCTAAATCCTAATTGTATAACCTTGGCAACTTTAAGACCCGTGGACTTCGACTGGCTGTGGAATTTTGTGAGTTGAAGTCCACAAGTCTTAAACTTGCCAAGATTGGATATCCTTGCTCTAAACAATATCTCTTTTTCATTTGGGGTTTATTGCTATGCTATAAACATCTTAATGATGGTAGCCTTACAAAGCTGCCTACCAAGGTGCTTCTGGGTTGAAAGAATTAGCTGGTGTCATCAACCGTTGGCCAGGGGATGCTCGAGAGGGTTCCACTTCATTGAAGTGGTACCTATTTATCTACTTGCATTTGCATGCTTTCAAACTGCAAGGTGGGCAGGAGCTGGGGCAAATTGATGGGAGCTCGTTCCGTCACATCACTTGCACTCAGATTTTGAACTGCCAAGCTGTCAACCTCCAATGGTCTTTTGACTCAGCGTCCTAACCATCTGAGCTGCCGCTATCCCAAGGCAGGCCACCATGAGCTACAGGTAGACTGTGGTTATTTCACCTGTGCTCTAAACTTGTCAAGCTTCAAAAACCAAGAAAAACACACAGGGTTACTTCTAAGCAATTTCTTTTATTGTTCCTCACCTATAGGCAGAAACCTTGCCAAACTAAAGCAATCACTTGTGTCATTTAAGATGCTGAGAATTACTAGGAAGGAGCAATCTTGACTCTTTCCCTACCAACCGAGCTATCTAAACTTTTCTGTCTCTTGCTCCTCTGGAATGCAGCCCCTCCCTCCTGGGAATCCAGACTACATTCCACCACAAAATCATCTGTAGTTACTCTTAGCTCTGGAGCAAAGTAGTATTAAGAACCTGAATCAGATGAATCTTCATTGTCCTGCTCAGTTGGAGCAAATAACCTTGGCAAGGCTGAAGGTTTCCTGATGATTTACAGCAGTGGTTCTTAACCTTTTTGAACAAATCGCCCCCTTGAGCCAATGAGGAAGTTGTCATCGCCCCCCCTCCCCCAACATAACCTCTCAATCACAACATAGGAAATAATTCTTCAATTTATGCAAACACTTTTTTGTTTTCTTTAAAACTGTCATCAGGACATATCGATGCAAATAATTTATTTCCAATCTTTTTCCCATATCTCCCATATTCTGGCCAATGGCGCATCACTGTACGGGTAGAGGCTGCTGCACAATGCGCATGAAAATAAGCGATGCGTATTCACATATGTACGGCGTTCTGTACTGAAGCTAGCTGGAGGAACATTTGAAAACACAATTCAATCCACTAAGAGCGAGCGATCTGATGTTTTTGTACGACAGATATACAGCGATTCACTGTACGAAAAAGTCTCAAAAGTGTCCCCAAAACTTCTCGCTCCATCGCCCCCATATTGCCCCCTTTTCGTTCCATCGCCCCCCCGAAAAACAAAATCGCCCCCTGGGGGGCAATATCGCCCAGGTTAAGAACCACTGATCTACAGGATGTTGAGCAGGGAGGAGAAAAGAGATCCCACAAAAAGGAAGGGTCCTGGCTAAGTCTGGGTGGGCATCTGTCTCCTTAAGCTTAGCTTATATCTTTGCATCTTCTGTCTGTCCCATAGGAACACCTTACCCTACACATTTACAGTCACAAAATAAAAGCACATACTTGTGGTGCCAGGTGGTCTTCATGGCATCTGTGTAGTACTTTACTTCACTGTAGATCTTGATACCTTCTACAGTCGGCTGCACTTTCAAAGGAGATGCAGAAAGAACTAACCAAAAAAAAAAAAAAGAGAGAGAGAGAGAGAGAGAGAGAGAGAGAGAAATAGATAGTTAGAGAGAGAGAAAGAGAGAGAGAGAGAAATAGCGAGAGAGAGAGAGAGAGAGAAAGAGAGACAGAGAAATAGAGAGACAGATAGAGAGAGAAATAGATAGACAGAGAGAGAGAGAGAGATAGATAGTGAGAGTGAGAGAGAGAGAGAGAGAGACAGAGAAATAGAGAGAGAGACAGACAGAGAGAAATAGATAGATAGATAGAGATAGATAGATAGATAGATAGATAGTGAGAGTGAGAGAGAGAGAGAAAGAGAGACAGAGAGACAGAGAAATAGAGAGAGAGACAGACAGACAGAGAGAAATAGATAGATAGATAGAGAGAGATATAGATAGATAGTGAGAGTGAGAGAGAGAGAGAGAAAAAGAGAGACAGAGAGACAGAGAAATAGAGAGACAGATAGAGAGAGAAATAGATAGATAGAGAGAGAGATATAGATAGATAGATAGATAGATAGATAGATAGATAGAGAGAGAGAGAGAGAGAGAGAGAGATTTCAGAAAGAGAATGAGGCCTCCCCTGATAAATAAAACTAATTCTATTTTTTTACAGCAAGGACAGGAATCCAAGGGCCCTCCACATGCTTTGAATCTATTTCCCACAATCCTTGGCTGCCTGGGATTGATGAAACTGGAGGTCCAAATCCAAAGGGAAGTCCAAAGAAGGCCACTTTTTGGAAGGGGAATCCTATCTCTTGTGCCTTGGGTACAATAAATGCCACCAGAACAGGGTCTGAAGATCAGCAACTTACTACTGATTCTGGCCAGCTCCTTGAGGATATCGTCAAATGCTGTAAAACAGAATGCATCACATAATAGTAAAAAATAGCACCACATATCAAGCAAGCCATTGTAGATAATGTTTAGTTGTGCCCTGGCTAAAGTTGGATTTCCTTAGAAATTTATTACTGACTATTGAACGACAAGGAAAGATTTCATTTAGAGCAGGACCAACCTGAGGAATATTTGCGGTTCCTGACCCCAGAGGTCATCCCAATCAAAACTTCCAAAAATCAACATCATGGTTTTCTACTGTTTAGAGGCAGAAAATCCAGACAAGTGCAGATGAGACTTTAAATAAATGAATATAAAAAAAATATTTTCTTTCTACTCCACTATGGCAAACCTTTCTCAAATCCAGATTTAAAAAAGCCAGTTCTCCCATATTTTACATCATCACATTGTTAAGAGTGGGTGGTTCACATAGTAGGGATGCTGGGTTGGAAGTTAGCAAGCCCACGTTTGATACCCGAGTGCAGCTGTGTGGTGGGGTGAGCTCCTGTCATCAGCTCCAGCTCCCTCATGCGCATCCCCTAGGGCAGGGGTAGGCAACCTTGGTTCTTTTATGACTCGTGGACTTCAACTCCCAGAATTCCTGAGCCAGCATGGCTCAGCTTGGAAACCTCTCTTTTTCCCCTCAGCTTGGCTGGCTCAGGAATTCTGGGAGTTGAAGCCCACGAGTCATAAAAGAGCCAAGGTTGCCTACCCCTGCCCTGGGGAATAGTGATGTCACCAGCTAATCCTTTTAACCCGGAAGCGCCTTATGCAGTGCCTCCGACATGAACTGGACGGGGATCACATTGTCTGGACATTCACAACAATCAAATGACAATCTTTGAAGCAAGGTTAAGCCAAGAGATCATCATCCTTCATGGCTAAAGATTGTGTAGGTGCTAATATAAGATCCCAATTACAACACCCCACTGACTCTCAGAATCTCGCCAACAGACCAGCTTCTTTGAAAGACTGCTTACCCCCAGCATGGTTTAATGAAAATGTTACATCAGTAAAAGCTTGGATATGCCTCTGAATTCACATGGTGTCATTCTCAATCCTGGTTAGCTGACTGGTGGTGAACCGGAAAGATCTTAAATATTTTCCCCAGCCCTCTATGACAGATAGAGGTCCTCAGTGTGCAAAGCAAAGGAGCATTTGAAAATGTTTCGTCTGTCTTCACTTTCTCCTTTCTGATTGTCATGCTGAATTTAAATTCCCCTGCTTTCTTTTGGCCAAATTGGGTGGGACTCGCACAAAACATCATCAAAGCACCAGATTTGGGAAGTCTACTTTGAATGAACAATTAATAGTTCGACCAGTGAGGAAAAAAGGATCGTACCTTCTTTTGTAAGATCAAGTTGGGTTATGTCTTGCCCACGGTCATCAGAAACCACAGCTTTGTAGACTCCTTTGTCTGCTTTGGTAATCTAGCAAAATATAGAGATGATGTCTGGGTTCACACAACACATTAAAGGCTAAATCCAGGTTAGAAAAACTCAGTTGCAGCTGTGTACCCGTACATCTCAATGATCAAATGAATGAACTACGTAATGTTTTAATGGGGTGGTCTGGCTCACACTATGAGTCCCTACATTACACACACAAAGCACAAAGAGGCCCACCTATTTTTAATTAGTGTAGGACAGTGTTTCTCAACCTTGACAATTTTAAGGCATGTGGACTTCAACTCCCAGAATTCCATAGTGGTGTAGGATGTTGTGTGAATGCAAGTACAGGTTAGAAAATGAAGTATCTTGAAATTACACAGAAAATATCAATTGATGGATGACTGTATCAATTAATTTTTGTAAAAAATAAAGATTTTTCAATATCTATGGGTACAGATAGGTCAAGTGAGTGTCAGAGTCTCGTTTTGCCATTCCCTGTAACCGTATGACGAACAATTGTGAGAACTAGGTACATCTACTTTAACAAAGAGAAGGACTAGTGGGGATGATATTTGAGGAACTATCACAGAGGGGTTGGGGTTAATCTATTCTCTAAATCACCCAAGGGCTAGACAACAAGTAGCAGTTGGAACTTACCAAGAACAGATCCAACCCAGAACTAAGGAGAAATTTCCTGACAGTGAGAACACTTAATGAGTGGAACAACTTGCCTCCAGAAGTTGTGGGCACTCCAGTACTGGAGGTTTTTAAGAAGAGATTGGACAGCCATTTATTTGAAACGGTATAGGGTTTCCTGCCTGAGCAGGGAGTTGGACTAGATGACCTCCAAGGTCCCTTCCAACTTGATGATGATGATGATGATGTTAGGCTTAACAAGGTGCAAGCTGTGGACAAGTCTCATAGAACAAGGTCTTTTCATTCTTTCCAATGTTGTTAAGTTGTGAATAGCACCTTTCATGGACAACATGATTTTTGAAGTTATAGAAAGAATACAAAATCTGAAGGGAGCCAGGTATAAGTCTGTTATTCATTTAAAAAAAAAAAGAAACAGCCCTAATTTTGGGGTGTTCTTTGCTTCTTACTCATTTTTTATTTCTCTAACATTTCTCTTGATGAAGAATTCTGCAGAATTCAAAAGTCTCCACACTTTTACTGCTATTTTGTTTGGTCCTAACAAACATATTGTCCAGTTATGGATTGTTTACCTGGTAGGTTCTATGCAGGGGTAGTCAACCTTGGCTCTTTTATAAGTCGTGGACTTCAACTCCCAGAATTCCTGAGCCAGCACAGCTGGCTCAGGAATTTTGGGAGTTGAAGTCCACGACTCATAAAAGAACCAAGGTTGACTACCCCTGTTCTACAGTATGTTTTAAAACACCCATGATGGGGGAAGAAGCCATGCTTTCTCCCATTTGTGGGTAACAGTAATGGGGAAATAGTGTTGTCTGTGGAATATGAATGTCTAAAGTGGCATGAAACTGGAAAAAGCTATAGCGACAAACTCCAGCTCTGTTCTTTCATTTATGACATTCCATTTCTTTCCTGTTTTGGTATGTAATTTTATTAATTTAATCATTAACAGTTACTCAGGATAAACTTACCCTTTTAATCTGTAGGAGTCCAGCTCCTGTGTTTGAATTATATTGACCATCTGAGCGGGCTTTGTTATCAAAGAACCATTGAAAAGAAGTATCCTTCTTCATATTTGATGCCTAATGAAAGGGATGGAGGAAGGAAGGAAGGAAGGAAGGAAGGAAGAATAGTCCTCAACTTACGACTGGTTACTTAGCAACCATTCAAAGTTACGATGGACCTGGTATTTACCAGCTGGATTTGAAGTTCCAATGCTCAATACCCCCCCCCCCGCAGTCATGTGACCATACTTAGAGTGCTTGGTATTGTCACATGACTGCATTTTATGACAATTTTGCCAAAATCCAGCAATTACTTCCAGTTTTTGGCAAAACTGCACCCTTAGCAAACCATTGGTTGGTTTAATGACCCGGGTGATTCATTTAACGACTGCTGAAATTTGTCTCGGTCACATGCTTAAGACTGTTACAAGTTATGACCATGATGGACAGGCTCTATTAAGGAAGTAACGTGAGGACTACTGTAATATCAGTCATGTAATTAAACTCCTATCCATCATGGCTTTGATCAAATGCAGAAGACATCTAAAATTGTAAAACCTAGTTTTGTTTCGTGAAGTGCAACTATGGGAAAAGAAGTTCTTACTTTGCAAGTCAGCAGGACTTCACAGTCTTCAGTGACCTTCCATGCCAGTTGTTCAATAAAATGAGGACCTGTGAAAGGAGGAGGGAACAAAGTACAACGCTAAACATCTTTTGATGTCACCTAGGGATTAATCTGATCCAAGCACCTTTGGGATGGACTTGTAGTGGCCTGTTGCCCAGAAGACCTCAGACTTTTCACAACTTGACATCTACAATATGGTGGGTCTCCACACTTAGCTAGTACATCCTCTAACTCAGTGGTTCTCAACCTGTGGGTCGGGACCCCATTTGGGGTCGAACGACCATTTCACGGGGGTCGCCAAACAAGGCTGTCCGCCATTTTCCCCCCTTTTCTTTGGCCACACCCCTGGCACCCAGTGATGTATAAGTGGTTGGGGGTCACCATAACATGGGGAACTGTATTAGAAAAGTTGAGAACCACTGCTCTAACTCTTAATTTAGGGAAAGGTGTCTCATTCATATCAAAACAAGGTGGAAACTGGACTGAAACCATTTCTGCAGTTAGCTTTTATAGCATCTTCTAGAGCAGCGGTTCTCAACCTATGGGTCGCGACCCCATTTGGGGTCGATCGACCATTTTTCGGGGGTCGCCAAAGGCGGCGATCTGCCATTTTCTCCCCTCCAGGGGCGACGCCGCGCCTCCGGGGGTCGCACATGTGCGCCGCGCATGGGGGCACGCATGTGCGCCGTGCACGGGGGCGCCGCCGCGCATGTGCGCCGTGCACGGGGCGCCGCCGCGCATGTGCGCCGCACACGGGGCGCTTCCGCGCATGTGTGCCGCGCACAGGGGCGCCGCGCATGTGCGCCGCGCACGGGGCACCGCACATGCGCGGCATGCACAGGGGCGCCGCCGCGCATGGGGGCCGCCACCGCGCATAACGTTTGTGTGATGGGGGTCGCCGTCACATAAATGTTGAGAACCGCTGTTCTAGAGTCAATCAACTACGGTATAATTGTGCCAAAAAAACACCCAGTAATGTGGACAAGATTTGTATCTCTTCAACAATGCCTGGGTGTTGCAGTGACGAATATGGAAAGGGCTAAATTTTCTTGAATTACAGGTAGCCCTTGACTTACGACTGCAACTGAGCCCAAACTTTCTATTACTAAGCAAGACAATTGTTAAGTGAATTTTTGCCCCATTTTAGGACCTTTTGTTGCAAGTTGTTAAGTGAATTACTGCAGTTGTTAAGTTAGGGACACACTTATTAAGTGAATCTGGCTTCCCTAGTTTGATTTTGCTTGTCACCTTGCAAAAGGTGATCACACAACTCCAGGGCACTGCAACTGTCATAAATACATACCAGTTGCTAAGTGCCTGAATTTTGATCACCAAAGGTCGTGAGTGTGAAAAAGGGCCATAAGTCGCTGAATAAATGGTTGTAAGTCAAAGACTACCTGCACCTTTGAAACTAGCTTTCCCAACGCCATGTTTATATGATATATCAGCCTGCTACCCGGTAAAGATATAGACGTTTTTGCTAAGTATTTCATCAGTTCAGCAGGTAAAAGCCAGTCTTTCTTGTTATTGCAAAACTACTTTGCTTCCTGATTGAGCTTGTCTAAGAAATGAATGGAAAATTCCCCTATTTCCTCATAAGCAAAAGAGGGGAAATCCCCACATTGCTGTGTATCATTTAATGATTTCCTAATTGTTAGAAATATCTTGCTGGAATAAAAAGGTCACCCTGTTCCCCTGCTTTTAGGCTATGTCTGTGGTTCTGCATGTGGACTTTCCACACCCATAATCAAATATCACGATTAACCCCAAAATCCTGAGTATTTTGATTGGACTGCACTGGGCAAGTAAGAAGGATTTATTTATTTATTAAATTTATACACCACCCGTGTCATTCTAAAAAGGGATTCTGGGTGACTTGGAGTTTGAAAATCCTCTAATCTTGATCTGTAATAAATTGGCCAGATAATTCTCTTTTGTTCTTCTATTGCAAACAGCTAACATGGCTAATGAAACTCAAATACTTTGGCCACCTAATGAGAAGGAAGGACTCACTGGAGAAGGGCCTGATGCTGGGAAAGATGGAGGGCAATAGAAGGGGATGACAGAGAATGAGGTGGCTGGATGGAGTCACTGAAGCAGTAGGCGGGAGCTTAAAGGGACTCCAGAAGATGGTGGAGGACAGGAAGGCCTGGAGAAACGTTGTCCATGGGGTCGCGATGGGTCGGACACGACTTCGCAATTAACAACAACAATAAAACAACAACAACAACATGGCTAAACTTCTTGGGATCAGATTAGGAAAAAAACCTGGTTTAGACAAATTTAAAATGGAATGCTGCATTTTTCTTTGGTAACTTTTGACTCAGTTTAGGGAGGGGCTAAGCTTTCCCTAAAAACTGCTAAAGAGATCCGGCTGAATTAGTGACTGACTTGGTTAAATAGGATGTGCAAACACGGGCAACAAATGTAAAATTCTTTGAAATGGTTTTGTCTCATTTTTGAGACCCTTGTCACACTTCCTAAAAGAGCTGCCATTCCCTTCCACCATCTCAATTTTGGGGAGGTTTCACTGGTTCTTTCGCCTTTCGGTCTAATGTAGACGTGTGCTATTTTATATCCTTTGGGGAAAGATGTGGCTTTTTTTTAGGCTGACAGCATTTCTTACCATGTTTTCTTTTCCAGTCTTTCTTTTTGGCATCAGCCTCTGCTTTAAGTTTATCAAAATCTGGAAGGAGGAGGAAGAAGAGGGGGGGGGGGAAGGGTAAGGGTAAGGGAAGGAGGACACGGAGAAGAAATGGAAGGAGAAGGAAAAGGAGAAAGAAAAGAAGGGGAAGGGAAGGGGGAGAAGAAGCAGAAGGGGAAGGGAAAGGAGAAGGAGAAGAAAAAGAGAGAGAGAGAAAAAACATTGGATCAGCCATTACTGTGCATGGTTGAGTGGGGAGACAGTTGAAGAACATTTTACCTTCTAGCTAGAGATACAGCTTATTCAAAGGAGGGAATGGATTTCCTGGAAGTGACAGCCTCTTAGCTTCCTTTGAAGGGGCTGGAAAGACCCAGGAAATAGCTGCTTCCTGGTCTGCAATTATACAGTGACATTGGAATGTCCATTGCTCCAGGGGAGCAGATGACTCCGCCTGAACTGTCTGAGCATGCTTCCCTTAAAGCTTGCTTTACAGTTTCAGAACTGAAGATAGAATCAACCCCAAATATTTCATTGCCTAAGGCAGTGATGGCGAACCTTTTAGAGACAAGTCTGAGTGCCCAAACTGCAACCCAAAACCCACTTATGCATCGTTGGATGCCAGGTGGGTGTGGCCCATTGGGTGGGTGTGGCCCACTGGGTGGGTGTGGCCCATTGGGTGGGTGTGGCCCATTGGGTGGGCGTGGCTGTGGTGGTAACAGCAGACTGGGTTGGACTAAAAAGTTCAATCAATCAATTCCAACCTTGCAAGATCTTTTTTTTCCCACGAGAAGTTGAAATTGACTGATTGATTGAACCTTTTTTTTTGTACACGGCGGCGGAGGCCTAAAGCGAAAAGGTTTTATAAAACCCAACTGAAGGCCTAGGACTGGGGCGACGGCGTGTGTGCCCACAGAGAGGGCTCTGAGTGCCGCCTCTGGCACCCGTGCCATTGGTTCGCCACCACTGGCCTAAGGCAGAACAGAAAATACTTTCACGTAAGCCAGGGTTCACAACACCCAATTATTATACCAACTAAGGTAGAAAATGCTTGCAAGATCATATTATGGGCTTTCCTAGTAACAATATCAGGAAACTAAAAAAAACAACTATTTGCTCTTTTTGGTGATAGGCGATATTGGTGATATTGGTGATAATATTTTTGCAATAGTAGCAGCTTTGCCTAATGGTAGGGCTGGCCTTAAGAAGATTTTTGCATCTCAAAACAAAAACAACAACAAAAAAACCTAATCCAATTTTCCTTCTTCTCTGCATCTCCATCCAGATGATCATCATTACCATTTTAAATTTTTCATTATTCTGCTTTGCATGAAGAGTAATGCTAAATCAGATTATAATAAAAATGAATCAATAAAATTAATACAAGATAATGGAAGTTTAAAACCTCTCAGAATGATCAGACTGATGCAGGAATACAATAGAAAAATGCACTGAAGGGTTTCCACAGTAAAAGATTAGAAATCATGGCAAACAGGAAGATAGTAATAGCAAGAGCATTAAACTTATATTTACTGCTTCACAGTGCTTTACAGCCCCCCCCCCCTAAGCAGTTTAAAGAGTCAGTGTGTCGCCCCCAACAATCTGGGTCCTTGTTTTACTAACTTCAGAAGGATGGAAGGCTGAGTCAACCTTGAGCCGATGGGAATCGAACTAATAGCAGTCGGCAGAAGTAGTCTGCAATACTGCATTCTAACCACTCCACTACCATGGCTCTTTAGATCTTTAGTTAATTCTGAAAAATAACCTTAACTGGACACAGAAGAGATTCCTTAGCCAAGGTGTTGAGAATAGCCTTCACATACTGAATGTCTGGCATTTTCAAGAAGATGTCAAGATGTCCTCATCTAGTTAATTAGCTATAATTGTTAAGGAAGAATATTATAGGTAAGATGACAACGAGTATATAAACCATAAAAAGTCACACTGCTAAGGAACTAATGAAGATGTAGCTTTTGCCCTCCACATACCAGCTCCAACGAGAGCCAAAGTAAACTGATTTTCCGCTTTGCCATCTTTCAGATGGGCGGTGTAGGTCCCCTTGTCATCCTCGCAGAAGTCCTGGATGATCAGTTCCACAAGGCCTTTCGCTCTGTCAAAGCTGATCTTGTGTGTCTGGTGTAAAAAGCCAAATAGGAGTTAGTTATGAGTAAAGAAAAACAAGGCTGGGTCCACCAAGGCAGCATCTCTTCCCTCCGGCTTCCAAGGTCATTCTCACATTCCATTACAGTTTGTGAGTAGAAGGAGGGAGAATCTACGGAGAAGATGCCAGCTAATTTTCATCACACAGTCCTGATGTTTGCATTAAACCAAGTGAGGGGAACTCACCGGAGTGCTTGAGAGCTCTTTCTCGTTGAAGAACAAATGAAGCACAGCCTCTGGAGAGAGTTTCTCCACTTCTAGCCAAAGTCGCACCTCCCCTTTCTCCAGAACATCAATGTTCCATCCAGATATCAGCTCAATCACTGAAAAGAATGGAAAATGGACATTATGGAGATGCTAAATTGAGCAGCGAAGTTCAACTAAAGTTTCCCAAGGACTAAAGACATCTGATAAATTACAGGTAGTCCTTGACTTACTACCATTTGTTTAGTAGTCCTTGTGTCAGAACCCATATATTATTAAAGGAGACTCTTTTCTATTTCTATGTCTTCCATTACTCTGGGTTCTGCCATACTCCTGAAGGGGAGAGGGAAAGACGTTGTGGGCTGTCTCTTTGTTTCTCCCGATCACTATAATTTTTCCTTTCCGCTGTTCTGCATATTCACTCTTTCAACTGTCTCTCCCTTGATGTTACCTTGGGATGAGAAAGGAATGTACCTCCGGCCATCTGGCTTATCTCCCGTTTCGGAAAACTTGCGTAGTCCTTGATTTACTACCCTTTGTTCAAAGTTACAACGGCACTGAATAAAGTGACTTATGACCAGTCCTTATGCCTACAACTGTTGCAGAATTCCCACGGTCACATGATAAAAATTTGGGCACTTGGCAACTAGCACATATTTACGACAGTTGAAGTGTCTCAGGGATGCATGATCGCCATGTGGAACTTTCTAAGCCAGCTTCTGACAAGCAAAGCCAGATTTGCTTAACAACCACGTGATTCACTTAATAACTGCAATGGTTTATTTAGCCATGGCAAAAAAAGATCACAAAATTAGCCACAACTCACTTAATCACCTTGCTTAGCAATGGAAATTCTGGTCCCAGCTGTGGTAGTTAAGTCAAGGACTACCTGTATAGAAGATTGAATATGTCTTCTTATGTAGCTGTCCACCTGGGGAGGAGCCAAAACTCTGTGGCTAAGCATGTGCTTTGGGTGTAGGTCCCAGCTTTTATTAGAAGAATAAGGAAGCAAAGCCAGATAAGACCTCTGATGTAAATATGGAGAGCAAATTCAACTTGGGCAATTTACAGCCCCAGGACACAGTCTCAGTGGTGGGATTCAGCCAGTTCACACCAGTTTGGCAGAACTGGTAGCTAATTTTTTGTTGCCCAGGCCCAGAATGGACTTCCAGAAGTGGCATCCACACAGAGAACTGGTTGTTCACTTATTTGAATCCCACCACTGCCCAGTCTGATTCAACCACCTACCCAAGAGATCAGTTCAAATAGCAGAAACTGTTGTGTCCTGGGCCTGCTGAGGAAACTCAGCAGGCCCAGAAATGTTGCAAATGGTCCTGGGCAACCTAAAAGCTGCCTGGGACCAGACTGATTGGCGCCGGTTTTGTGCACAGGCGCAAGGCGCGAATAAAGGGGATTTATGATTGGATGTTGGGAAAACTATAAAAGGCCTGCGAGCCTGTTGGCTCATTGAGTGGTAACGTGGAACAAATAAAGAAGAATTTGGTTAACAACTTGTCTGTTGCTTCAATGCCACGAACCCCAATACATAAAAGGAACTATTTGTCTCATCCCTGCAAATTGTGGAAGAGAGAGAGAAAAAAATTCAAGTAGTGAAAAAAGGAAGATGTTCGTTAGATTAGGAAAAAGAAGGACTCTCCACTTATTTACGGGTCTTATTCCATTCCCAACCTGCTTCAGGTCTCACCCAACATGTAGACTTCTGCATGTATTCCAGAGGGAAGGCACCCCTCCCCTGAAAAAAGGTGGTTTGGGCTCGATGTAAGCAATGATAGTCTAATGTAAATGAACCAGTGGTCTACCTCTGCAGAAGGTGTTTTGATATCTTAAAAGATCTGGAGGACATTCCAGGTTACAAAAAGCTGGTTTGTAGCAACGACAGTACCTGTGCATTATGTCACTATTGTAATAATAATAATAATTTATTATTATCCATTGGCAACTTACAGGGGTTTCGAATCTCATGGCTGATCATTCGCAGTCGGTCCAGTTCTAAGAAATGAGAAGAGCAAGAACACAATTGAGAGACAGAATCAAAATTGTGTTTTACCATTCATGATGCCCCCCAAAAGTTCTTTCTTTCTGTTTCATAGCCTGTGTTTCTCTGTCTTGGCAACTTTAAGATATGTGGACTTCAACTCCCAGAATTGAACCCCATGGGAGTTAATATCTTAAAGTTGCCAAGGTGGAGAAACACTGCCATTAGCTACATAAATACTAGATTGAGGAAAAGGTTGACGGTTGTTATAACTATCATGATCTCACAGTAGGCTACAAAATAAGGTAGACTTTAAATTTTGCTTCCGAACAGAGGAGAGAAAAGGATTCCCCCGCAAAGTCCAATCCTGGTTCCAATAATTTCAGCAGAATTTCTCTCTGGTTCTTCAAATATGTGTAATAACTTGAAATGAATGCAGTTTTTTGTTTGTAATTTACCTTCCTGAGTTAAAACATGGCTGGCAGAAATGTCTTCATCAGTATCAGTTACTTCTACGGAATATGTTCCCAGGTCCCGTTCAGTAGCATATTTCAGAATAACTTTAGACCTGAAAGAAAGGAATATGCAAATATGCAATCTATGCATCAAATATGTTTGTATCCCGTAATTGTGCAAGGCACCCAGATTAATAGTCAGGTGGAGCATTGCAGTAATCTTGCTCCTTGAATGAATAACAGAATAAATTGTGCCAAAGTACAACAAAAATACAACAAAATACAGTAAACTCGGGAGAATAAATCTGGCAGAGTCTGCAAATATATCTGATCTCTGCGCATGAGATACGATTTGAACGGGACCTCTGTGCGTGAAATGCAAAGATAATAGGCTCAAAGTTGCATCAGGGATCTCAAAATTGGTCACACAAATGGGGCTATAGGTCAATATTGAAATGAGATGTTAAAACAGATGCATCTGAGTGCCAGAAACCATAATCCTGCCAGTCCTAGAAAGTCTGGGATGAATCAAAAGGCAAGTATTAAATGATCCATGCTGAAGGCAACCTTTTATTTGTTCTTTTGCTTTTAAGATTGCTTGCTATGAATTTGGCAGTGTGCTATTGGAAATCAAGAAAGCATCCCTGTAGGGGACGATAACAAACACTTTCATATTGCTGTTAAGAAAGTGACATGAATGCAGGAGATCACCAGGAGATAAAATTCAACCTGATGGTCATTGGTGTGGAAAAAAAATTCTCTTAAATTTCTACAAGTTCAGCTACTCCTAAGGGCACAGTTAAGGTCATCCCTAGTTTGCCTCCAAGTTCTCATGAGAATTTACTTGTTATCTTTGTCTACAATTTCAACTCTGTCAGGATTTGGAGGTCCTTCATAGTCTTTGGACCAAATAAATTCTGAAGTGTCAACCATGTCAGGAGCTTCATATGCCAAGTAGATGAACCCTTCCTCGTCTACCCCAACTTCAATTTCTTTGGTGTCTGCAAAAGAGAGAAAGAGAGAGAAAAATACTCAAAGCAGGAAATAAATTAAGAACATCATTATTTATCTCCTGCTAAGGCCATAGCAGTGTCAATACCCAAAAGATGGAGGCGTTTGTTGAGAAAGATGAGCAGAGAAAGAGGGGAAGACAAAAACCAGAAAAACAGAAAGAAGAGCAATGTTGAGAAGAAAAATAGATGATGATAGATAGGTAGGTAGATAGATAGATAGATAGATAGATAGATAGATAGATAGATAGATAGATAGAGACACAGACAAATAGAGATAGATAGATAGATAGATAGATAGATAGATAGATAGATAGATAGATAGATAGATAGATAAGATAGATCAGGGGTGTCAAACTGCCAGCTCACGGGCCAGATGAATCATGCCAAAACTGTGCCCATCCCAGCTCCAGCAATGGGGAAAAAATGGTGATACATTGCAACACGTTACGTGACATTGCGAGTTTGACATCCCTGAAATAGATAGATGATAGATAGATAGATAGATAGATAGATAGACAGACAGATAGATAGATTAGGTAGGTAGGTACAGAGAGACAGACAGACAAATAGAGATAGCTGATAGATAGATAGATAGATAGATAGATAGATAGATAGATAGATACAGAGAGACAGAGAGACAGACACAGACAAATAGAGATAGCTGATAGATAGATAGATAGATACAGAGAGACAGACACAGACAAATAGAGATAGCTGATAGATAGATAGATAGATAGATAGATAGATACAGAGAGACACAGAGAGACAGACACAGACAAATAGAGATAGCTGATAGATAGATAGATAGATACAGAGAGACAGACACAGACAAATAGAGATAGCTGATAGATAGATAGATAGATAGATAGATAGATAGATAGATAGATAGATAGATAGATAGATAGATAGAGATAGATAGAAGAAGAGTTAGTGTTATACCTGGTTTAGTTTTCACTATCACAGGATCTGATGGCAGTGATGGTGGGCCAACACCGGCCTTGTTCTCAGCTCGCACTCGGAAAGTATAACATTTCCCAGTTTCCAGGTCATTCAGCTGATGGGGAACATAATACAGAGAAGGAGAAGCTTCAAGAAGAGCTTCTTGTATGCTGCCTAGAGTCACTTTCAGTGAGTCTGGTGGCCATATATAAATTTAAATAGATAGATAGATAAATAGATAATGTTAAAATATACGAATGCCTATAGGGAAGGAGAGGCCCAGAAGTGATAGCAATAAATAATTTATAATAATTAATAATAATTAATAAATTAATTTGTCCAGTCTTCCCTGATTTAATACTCTCTGAATACTGATCAATATTATTTGATTTATAATTTTGTATACTGTTTTTATACTTTTAATATTTAATTTGAACACCAGCCAGAGTCCCTCTGTGAGGGAAATGGGCAGTTCCTAAATATGATAAATAAATAAATAAAAAATAGGAGTAATATTTATTATTGATCTAATTCTCCCAGTAACTTGCATTCTTTGAGTAGACTATAAAGATAATTTCTCTCTCCAATTCCAGCCACATATTCTGGCTGACCAAGGGTTTAAACACTGTTGCCATAAAATTTTATTAATATTACAAATAGAGCATGAATGTCAAATGCAGCCCAAACCTTCATGTGTGTGTTTGATATCGGCTGTTTATTCAGTTGTTCCCAGATGTTTGATCCTTCCTCGCAGGCCTCCACGTAATAACCACGGATTGGCCCTGCTCCAGTATACAAAGGTGGCTCCCAACGGAGCATCAGAGAGGTGTCTCTTACTTCTGTACATCTGACATCATAGGGAGGTCCTGTTTTGGAAGGAAGAGTGGATTTCAAAGTACCGTATATGCCGGCGTATTAGGCGACCCGGCGTATAAGACGACCCCCATCTTTATAGCCGGGCCGCATTCCTAGAACGTCGTCTTATATGCTGGAAACTACCAGTATTTCCGGTGTATAAGACGACTTGGCGTATAAGACGACCCCCGTCTTTGGCGCCGATTTCAGCGCTCGCAGAAGTCGTCTTATACGCCGGCATTTACGGTATGTATTCTTGGATGCCGCAACGATCCTTTAAACCAGCATTTCCCAACCTTAACCATTTTTAGAAGTGTGGACTTCAACTCTCAGAATACTCCAGTCAGCATTGGGAGTTGAAGTCCGCATATCTTAACATTGTTAAGGTTGGGAGATATTGCTTTAGACCAGTGGTTCTCAACCTTTTTAATGCCGCGACCCCCAACCGGTCGTAAGTCGAGGACTACTCAACCGGTCGTAAGTCGAGGACTACTCAACTGGTGCAGCACCGTTTGCAGAATGGGACTTTTGGCGGGCTCAGCAGGACAGAGACAGCCTGGACCATTCTTATTGGCTTTTGAAAGCCAATAGAATTAGACTCTATTCAAGAGAGTCTATTCTATTGGCTTTCAAAAGTCAATAGAATAAAAGGGAGTAGCACAGCTAAGGAAAAGTGGAAAAAAAATGGCGGACTGCGTTGTTTGGCGACCCCCGTGAAATGGTCGTTCAACCCTAAATGGGGTCCTGACCCACAGGCTGAGAACCACCGCTTTAGACCAATTCAGGAAACTGATTACATAGGAAATACTGGATCTCCGTTATGATAAGATATAATAAAATCTTGAAAGCTTGACACTATGCTTTCTTCCTTCCGTTTATACCAAATAGAGTCAAGGTGGAAATCATCTACATTCTGTTCTCTTCCTCAGCTTAAATCATGTTTTACTCTGGGAGATGCATTTCTTCCCCAAGGTCATCTCTGCGGTCCTCTACATCTTTATCCACAGTCAGAAGAAGTTTGGTGGACCACAAAAAGGATTAAAGAATCATAGATTCATAATGCTGGAAGTTCGTCATAGACTACTGAGTTCAACTCTTTCGATTTTGAAGGCTACACAGGACCAAAGCTATATTGGTTTATATGCTCAACATCCCATCTTAGTAGTACATATGGTTTGGATCTGGCCAAGGCCAAGATCCATTCTTTACCTGGTTCTGGCATTGTCCACTCCTCGCACTTGAAAATGTCGCTGGGCTCCGACACCTTCCCGACACCAACTATGTTCATTGCATAACCACGGAACTGATAAAAGTGTCCTTCATCCAGGTTGGTGACCTATAGAATCACCAGAGACGTTGAGCATTTCCCAAAGCCTTGCTTCGAAAGAAGGCATCGCATTAACAGAGACCTGTCTTGCTTTGCAAATTATTCCCACTAAGAACTGAAACCAGCTTTCCCAACTAAATGCCCACCCCTGCAGTAGATATATGAAATTCAACTCCCAAAATTCCCAGTCAACACGGCTAAAGAATTCTTGGAATGAAAGAGGGAACTCTGGAAGCTGAAGTATGAATTTCCTGAAATGCATTAGGATGTGGAAAGCTAGCTTAGTAAATAAGGTAAAAGTTCTACTGTTTTTTTCAGAACGCTTTTCAAATTGCTCCAGTTTTGTTGCCTGCAATGTCACCCTGACAATCAAGAACCCATTTTAACTTTGTTTTTGCTTTTTTGGCAAAAGAAAAAGATTCAGCCATATGGTTGAGAGGGACAGAGGTTGAAATCCCTGTCCAAGTTCAGACATGGCACTGACACCATACCGTATAAACCCGTTCAGCAATGGGCTTAATGTTGGTCTCATGCCAGTCAGTCTGGGAAGTATCATGCTGATCCAAGAAATAGCCCAGAATCTTTGAACCTCCTTTGCGTTTCGGAGGCTTCCAGCCTATGGTCATGGTGTCCTTCCCACAGTTCAGCAGGGCAAAACCTCGTGGAGCGGATGGAAGAGCTGAGAGGGAGGAAAAAGATGAAATTATCATGAAAGCTGAGCATCTGATCAGCATGGTGCTTCTCTACTTAAAATTTTGAGGCCAATGTAACCTCGGTATTTTGCTTTTGAAGTTTTCAAAATCCACCTTTGCCCACAATTGTTGAAAAATGGTAATGATTTTCTGCTGCTGTTAGGCTGGAAATGTCAAAACAAAGATTTCCCCCATCATTTCCAAAGCTGAAGAAAAACAGACAATCTTGGTTACATCCCAAAAGTTTGTCTCTCTCTCTCTCTCTCCCCTCCCTCCCTCCCTCCCTCCCTCCCTCCCTCCCTCTCTCTCTCTTTCCCTCTCTCTCTCTCTCTCCCTCTCTCCTCTCCTCTCCTCTCCTCTCCTCTCCTCTCTAACACAACTGGTACTTACAGATTGCTTGTCTCACAAGAATGGGATCAGATTCTGGGGAGCTTTCTCCTACACCAGCTTCATTGACACATTTGACACAGAAGACATATTGCTTGCCAGTTTTGAGCCCTGGAACAGTAAATCTAAGAAACAAAACAGAAAGCCACCCATCCATTCTTCAGTGTTACCTCTTAGCACTGGTTTGTCACACAGGAGCAGTGTTTCCCAATCTTGACAACTTTAAGGCCTGTGAACTTCAACTCCCAGAATTGGGAGTCAGGGAAGTCCACACTTAAAGTTGCCAAGTTTGAGAAACACACACTAGAGTCTCCAACTATAAAACAGTGGAAGCTTTCAGTCATCTTGGAACATATTGGCTATCTTCACACAAGACAGTGAACCTGGTTACTGAATTAGTTTATTTTATGGGTATATATCATACAGAACCAATATAGCTTGTATATTCTGTCAACAGCAGAATATTTTCAGCAATGACGGTGGTTTTGCAAATTGTCCTTCCAAAGGAGATTTTTCAGACTATGGCTGATATTTTTAGCTGCTTGGATGAACCATCTTAAACTAATTCATTTTAAAATTCTGTAATGTCCGTGCTGTTTCCTCCAAAATTAACACACTTTAGTTAATTTCATTTCATTCGTTTGGAACACCATTTTTTTATGTCTCAATTTACATTTGATTAGATGAGCTCCTTGCAAAGAGAGAATATTTGGACCACGTCTGAGCAAGTTCAGCATCCACATGATAACAACATCCGTCCTTTCCTTGTTTTGAAATCACAAACTGGTTACCATTTTCCCAACCCTCTCTCCAAGCAAATGTGGAAAATGCTAAAAGCTACAAAAATGGAAAGGATCATCAAATGAACTCACTCATGACAAGTGACGGGTTTATTGTTGACCGTTTGCCATTCATCTGTCCCAACCTCCTTGCAATAGATGTAATAACCCAGTGGTTCTTTTCTTGGCTTGTTCCACTGTACGAACACAGATGTCTTGGTATCTCTGAAAGCCAGGACCTGAGATGGGGGTGGAAGCGGAGCTAAAAAAAAAAAAAAGATGGGAAAAAATAGAAACTTAAAGCAGCAACTTTAAGAAAACCAAGATCATGGCATCCGTCCCTTTCAATTCCTGGCAAATAGATGGGGAAGAAATGGAGGTAGTGACAGATTTTATCTTCCTGGGCTCCAAGATCACCTCAGATGGGGACTGCAGCCAAGAAATTAAAAGACGCTTGCTTCTGGGGAGGAAAGCTATTGGCAAATCTAGACAGCATACTAAAAAGCAGAGACATCACCCTGCCAACAAAAGTGCATATAGTCAAGGCCATGGTTTTCCCAGTTGCAATGTATGGCTGTGAAAGTTGGACCATAAGAAAGGCTGAGCGCCAAAGAATGGAGGCCTTTGAACTCTGGTGCTGGAGAAGACTCCTGCGAGTCCCCTAGACTGCAAGGTGATCAAACGGGTCAGTCCTGGAGATCAACCCCGACTGCTCTTTAGAAGGCCAGATCCTGAAGTTGAAACTCAAATACTTTGGCCACCTAATGAGAAGGAAGGACTCACTGGAGAAGAGCCTGATGCTGGGAAAGATTGAGGGCAATAGAAGAAGGGGACGACAGAGAATGAGGTGGCTGGATGGAGTCACTGAAGCAATAGGCGTGAGCTTAAAGGGACTCCAGAAGATGGTAGAGGGCAGGAAAGCCTGGAGGAACGTTGTCCATGGTGTTGCGATGGGTCGCACATGACTTTGCAACTAACAACAACAACAACAAAGCAGCAACTTCTTGAAGACCATTATACTTTCTTTCAACTCTTCTCCAGTCCCTATCAGCTAAACCAGCAACTTTAAGATGCGTGGACTTCAACTCCCCAAATTCCCCAGCAAACAGCAGGATTTACAAGATTTTATCTAGTGACAACTTAGTCACTAAAAGAAAAAGAATTACCAATCTTTTCTCCCAGAGAGATGGGTTCACTGGGCAAAGAAGGATTGCTCACTCCGTACTTGTTCACTGACCGTACTCGGAAACAGTAGGACTTTGCCTTCTCCAGACCAAAGACAGGAAAAGTAGTGGAACTGACGGGAATATCCAGATTAACCATCTGCCACTTGCCACTGCCTGTGATGGACTGAAAAGACAGAAAGAAGACCACCATTATTTGTCATAAAATGGCTTTGTATCAGCCTGGGGCGTTCTCCCAGGGGAAAAGAATGACCAGCCCTGCATTTTCATGACCAGTGACCCAATGTGGAAATCTGGAAATCCATGGGAATTGACTTGGTAAGGCTCAAATTAGAGGTCTTGTTAGAAATTATGGAAAGTTGCATAACTTGTGATGTAGAAATTAGAATGTTGCCTACTGACTATGGTTCTCCTCCATTGGATGGTCTACTGTGAAATGTAAAACTAGCACTGAATATGTTATTATTTTTCCATCTTGCATCAATCTCCTGTATCCTCTTTTTTCTGCCATGTCCCCATGATGTTGTCTTCATCTCAACTCCAATGGAGGGCACCAGGATTCATGGACAATTATTTTTAAGTCCTCAAATTGGTTTGAGAAAGAACAATGTGTTTCACTTTGAGAGCGGGCAACTAAATTTCATTTTTGATGTGTGCCGTTGTGCCCACGGTAAAAAAATGACAATAAAGGTTATCTCATCTTATCTTATCTCATCTCATCTCATCTCATCTCATCTCATCTCATCTCATCTCATCTCATCTCATCTCACCTTACCTTACCTTACCTTATCTTATCTAGAAAGAACTTGGTTCAGAAAAACCTAAATGAAGTTTGGTCTGATCTGAAGGTGGCTTGGGGGGATTGATCTACTGTATCTGCTGTTTTCTTACCTTTTCTACATAGTAGCTCAGTGGCTCTTTACCTCTGGGATCTGGCTCATCCCAGGAGAGGATCACATAATCTTCTCTAGTCTCACTGGCATGAACATTAGTGGGAGGCAACGGGATCTTAATCTCAGCTATAGGAAGAGAGAGTTAAAATAGCCATCACACACTGGAGCTCTCATACAAGACCAGATTTACAATAAGAAAAGAATGGCTAGGCCTGTGGCATGGTATCTTCTAGTAAAGTTGGACTTCTCTTTCCATAGTTCCTCAGTCAAGTCCAAACTGTCTGGAGGGCACCAGATGGGGGATGACTGAAACAGTGGGATCAAGGGATGGGCCTATAAGGGAATAATAGAGCTGAACATCAAAATTTTGCCTCAGAAGCTCTTTACTTAATTCTTAACATCTCCAAGAGAATGTACTTCATAGACCCTGGAGAATCATTGGCAACTGGGTAGAAGATACTCAGCCAGAAGGATTAGGGCAGTGGTTCTCAACCTTTCTAATGCCGCGACCCCATAATACAGTTCCCCATGTTGTGGTGACCCCCAACCACTTATACATCACCGGGTGCCAGGGGCGTGGCCAAAGAAAAGGGGGAAAAATGGTGGACAGCCTTGTTTGGTGACCCCTGTGAAATGGTCATTCGACCCCAAATGGGGTCCCGACCCACAGGTTGAGAACCACTGGATTAGGGTCTGGTCCAACTTAAGGCAGCTTCCTGGATAATTCTTTGGTTATCAGAACTTCCACTTGTAGTGAAAGGGACAAATTGTAGAATTGCCACCCCTCAAAATGTATAAGTAGCAGTTCACTGTAACATGAAAACATCTTTGGGATAGAGTATTTATCAGAGGAATAATTAAGGAATGAGGTTCCTATGAACTTACGTTCCAGTTCGTCTTTTGAAATTATAATTGTCCTCATCCCATCGTCATAAGGAATATCTAATCAAAGAAAAAGAAAATTAATACTTTGGAAGCCATACATTATAATTTATAGGTATATAAATTATAGTTCAGTTGAATTATCAAACTGAATAGACCCAGTGGATTACTTTGGTTTGTTTAATTCAACCAAAGGGAATATTTGAAAGTCCTAGGACAAAAGTAACCACTTGATCAATCTAGCAAAATCTTTTGAAGGCAGTCTTCAAGACAATGTGGGCTACCAATAACTTCAAGTAAAAAAGTGATACAAAGAATGATTATCCTATGCTAGGGGTAGACACCTTGGCTCTTTTATGACTCATGGACTTCAACTCCCAGAATTCCTGAGCCAGACATGCTGGGAGTTGAAGTCCATGAGTCATAAAAGAGCCAAGGTTGCCTATCCCTGTCCTATGCCAACACTTGGATGTGTTGGCACAGAATAATTATTCTTCATACCACAATTCTTTTACTTGAGGCTATTGGTGGCCCACATTGTCTTGAAGATTGCCTCCAATTTTTGTGAACCTTCACGTGGTCTAAACCAAGAATGACGTACTTAGCAACCTCTTTGCTTCATTAGGATCAATCATTGTCACAGGACTGCTGGCCTTTGAAGGGTTACTGATTCCTGCACAATTGACAGCCTTCACTCGGAACTGGTAAGTCTTTCCTTCTGTGAGACCCAAAACTGGTGACCTGCAAGTTTTCACCAATTGCTCATTGTAAGGAACCCATTCATCTGTGTCCATTTCACACCTGGAAGGCAAAAATGACACTTTTGTACAATTGATTATGATCTTGAAAAAATAAAAAAAATGGAGGGAAGGAGAGAGGAAGATTGGAGTACTATAGAGTGTAGACCTTTCAATGTAATAACCAATGATGGGGCTTCCACCATTATCACTGGGAGGTACCCATGAAAGTATGAGGGTATTTTTGTTCACAGCATGACATTGTACAAGGAGAGGAGATCCAGGAGCACCAGCTGTTGCAGCTGCAGCATCTGGGAAGGACAGGAAGCTAGGGTGAGATTATTGAGTCAAGACAAAAGACATCTCACTTTTATCTACCACATCCTGAAATCATTGTTGGTGATGGGAAGTGTTCACTATCATAAGTACAGCATTTATGCTGTTGGCTACACAACAGAGACAAGTTTCATTTGAGTAACTTTGGGACAGTCACTTTCACAGCCTTGAGAAAGGACCATCTACTCCCAGTGTTTCTCAACCTTGACAATTTTAAGGCATGTGGACTTCAACTCCCAGAATTCCACAGCCAGCAATGCTGGCTGTGGAATTCTGGGAGTTGAAGTCCACATGCCTTAAAATTGTCAAGGTTGAGAAACACTGATTACTGTATATATGGTGTTTTGAGTTTATTAAGAAAATTAGAGATACAAAGCTAACTCCTAATCTGTTTTTCTCTCTCTCTCTGACTTTCTCTTGAACTTCAACCAGCCAGCCTTCTCCAACTGGACGTCTAGATTCTCTAGAAGTCTTGGTCTACAACCCTATCAATCTTAGCTAGTACCAATCATGATTGGGAGGACTTTATTCCCCATACAAATAATCCTCAACTTACAATAACAATTGGGATTGTAAGTCAAGAACTATAATGCACCAATACTGCAGTCTCCACATACTGCATCAGCTACATCTACATATCACCAGGCTGAAGGAAAGCCTAGGGCAGTGGCTCTCAACCTTTCTAATGCCGTGACCCCATAATACAGTTCCCCATGTTGTGGTGACCCCCAACCACTTATACATCACTGGGTGCCAGGGGCGTGGCCAAAGAAAAGGGGGGGGGGGAAATGGCGGACAGCCTTGTTTGGCGACCCCCCTGAAATGGTCGTTCGACCCCAAATGGGGTCCCGACCCACAGGTTGAGAACCACTGGCCTAGGGTTTCTCAAATGGTGCTCCATAGAACCTGGGGGCTGCATGAGAACTTGTGAGAGACTAAGGGCATCTTTCATAGCCAAGCTGAGTGCAAGTTGTAAGAATGACAGCCTGGCTCAACCGGAATCTATTAGTTGGAAAAAGCTCACAGAAATGTCTTAACATTAAACTGTCACATCAATAATGGTGAACATACCCCTAACAAACACGTAAGCTTTTTGTTCACTGTAGCCGTCTTGTGTCGGGATACGGATGCTGTAAAAGCCTTCATCCTCCTTGTAAGCACAGGATACTATCAAGGATGCCTCCCGATCCTCACATTTGATTTGCCGGTGGTCAGAATCTTTCAGCAACTCACCTGCCATACAGGACATAAGCATCGCCTTGTTTTATCCAGTCAATGCATTCATACTAGAGATGATACTTGGCACATCTTCAGAATCTGGAATCCTGAACATTTTCAGATTTCACTCGTGAAATGTGCTGCCTTTGACAAACAGTAGGATATTAGTTGAAATCATAAAAAAAGGCAACTCCTCATTCTCCTTTTCCACTGCCGGCAAAAGCAGTTTTGAGGGACAAGTTGAAAAAAAAAAGTCCTATTGGTGGATATATTTTAAGGCAAGTCTTCAACAATTGGCAGCAATTAGTAGACCCCAGTTGATCTCAGAAGCTAACAAGATCACCCTATAGTTGGGCAACAACAACAACAACAACAATAATAATAGTTGGAAGGGACCTTGGAGGTCATCTAGTCCAACCCCCTGCTCAGGCAGGAAACCCTATACCATTTTGGACAAATGGCTGTCCAGTCTCTTCTTAAAAACTTCCAGTGTTGGAGCATTCACCACTCCTGGAGGCAGGTTGTTCCACTGGTTAATTGTTCTCACTGTCAGGAAGTTTCTCCTTAGTTCTAGGTTGCTTCTCTCCTTGGTTAGTTTCCACCCGTTGCTTCTTGTCCTGCCTTCAGGCGCTTTGGAGAATAGCTTGACTCCCTCGTATTTGAGATATTGGAAGACTGCTATCATCTCCCCCCTCGTCCTTCTCTTCGTTAAACTAGACATACCCAATTCCAGCAACCGTTCCTTATATGCTTTAGCCTCCACTCCCCTAATCATCTTTGCTGCTCTCCTCTGTACTCTTTCTAGAGTCTCAACATATTTTTTACATCGCAGTGATCAAAACTGGATGCAGTATTCCAATTGTGGCCTTACCAAGGCATTGTAAAGTGGTATTAACAAATCATCTGGATATATCAGTAATGTTGGTTAGATTGGAAAAACAAAATTCATTCTAGCAGAAATTAGCGGCGAACTAGTTCCAAAATGCTACCAAGAATATTGGATGGATGCAGTCACTAGGAGTACAAATAAGCTTGACCTGAGCTAAGGGCACTTTTATCCATAATAAGGAGCAATTTGATTTTTCTTCCCACTGAAAATGTCTAATTCACGTGATAAATTGTATGGCTCACAGGGGCTCATTCGTTGCATTATGCAAACTACTGAAATGAGTTACTTCCCAGCCAAGTAAAGGGTGTTTTGTTTTGTGTAAAAGCACCATCACATAATTGGCATCCAAAGATGGGGAACAAAAAGCTGCTAAACCTGATGCAGCATATTTTGATGCTTTCTCAGGCAGCATTGTGGCTATAAATACAAACCGTCACGGAACCAGGAAATGTTTCGTTGGTATTCTTGAAGGTCTGAAGTGAAAGTGCAGGAGAGGATGAAGGCTTCCTTCTCTGTAGCAAAGATGGGCCTCAATGTGCTGGCGAAGTCAGCTTCTATGTCTCTGAGTCTCTCTAAGGAGCAAGCAGATGTTGAGTTAGAAAGAAGGTTGAACACTGATGGCCAAAATAGAATGAACGTCCTCTTCTGACTTGAGGAATTTCTACCCTATTCTTCTCACAATGTGCCCAGAGCTGTCTGAAGCTGGTCTTCAGCTGTACCAGTCTCACTTCACAGATCACCATGAATGAGAAAGAGAGACAACAGGAGAAAAGAGGTCCATGTTACCACTTTCCAAAATGTATCTGTTCTTGTGTCTACATATAATATACTTTGAGCCGAGGTGGCCCAGCAGTTAGAGTGCAGTACTGCAGGCCACTTTAGCTGACTGTGTTCAGCAGGTCAGCGGTTCAAATCTCACCGGCTCAAGGTTGACTCAGCCTTCCATCCTTCCGGGGTAGGTAAAATGAGGACCCAGATTGTTGGGGGCAATGTAAAAAAATATATATATATATACATACATTGCTTACTGGTGTACACCGCTTAGAGAGTGCTTGCACTTAAAGCGGTATATAAGTCTCATAAATAAATAAATAAATAAATGTGCATTATAGCTGTTAATTCCCCATCATCACTATTTGGGTGCCCCCAATTACTTCTTGGTCTTTCTTCCCACCTTTTACTAACCAAGAGAAGAAACCAGGATAAAGGACGAGCAACTTCTACTTACTTTTATAGATTTCTGAATCAAATCCAGATTCCATCCCATAATATTCTACAAGAGGGTAGAGGGGAGTTGGTGGGGGAGTGGGAAAGGAAGGGAGAAGGAGAAATACCGGCATAGGTGAAGGTGCATTTCACTGTTTCATTTGCAAATAATAATGTACACAAGTAGTTTTAAGTTGCAATGCAGAAAAACCCATATCGAAATCAGAAGAGGTGAGTCTCCGAAGAGCTGCAAGAACACCAAACTGGATGGAAATCCAGTTCTAGCCTCCATCAAGCTTTTTTGTTTGTTTGTTTGTTTCTTTTAGACTAGTGGTTCTCAACCTTTTTAATGCCGTGACCCCACAACCGGTCGTAAGTTGAGGACTTCTCAACCGGTCGTAAGTCGAGGACTACTCAACTGGTGCAGCACCGTTTGCAGAATGGGACTTTTGGCGGGCTCAGCAGGGCAGAGACAGCCTGGACAATTCCTATTGGCTTTTGAAAGCCAATAGAATTAGACTCTATTCAAGAGAGTCTATTCTATTGCCTTTCAAAAGCCAATAGAATAAAAGGGAGTAGCACAGCTAAGGAAAAGGGGGGGAAAAAATGGCGGACTGCGTTGTTTGGCGACCCCCGTGAAATGGTTGTTCGACCCCAAATGGGGTCCCGACCCACAGGTTGAGAACCACTGTTTTAGACAAAAACCAGATTGAGCACTCTTAGCCCGGAGAAACACCCTTTGCATAAAACTGTTGTAAAACAGCAAAGGATGATTAAATTGGCAACTGCCCTCAACCAGGTGTTTTCCAGTTGTTGGAATACCCTCCCTCCTATCACATCTAGCTAAGGGAGTGCTGGGAATCTTTTTCCAACATGCCTGGAAGAGGAAAAAAATGGCAATGTTTGGATTAATGGATGAGTAATGGAAATTGCTCAGAAAACAATTGGGAAAACGCCTCAGGTGCTGAAACCCACATCGCTTGTATTGCAACAGCGCATCTGGGGAAGGAATATGTTTCATGCAGAGAACATCTGGCTTCGCAGAATGTTTCTGCGCTTGTCCAAGTCAAGTCGAGACTTACTCCTGACAAATACGGTTGCAAATGAGTTGGCCTCGCCATACGAGTTCTTCACTTCCACACTGTATTCAGCAGAATCATCCAAAGAGCATCTGAAAATAACAGCAAATGACACTGTGGGATGCTCCAGTTGTTTCGTATTTAACCAAAAGCAAAGGGTTTCCCCAGCCAGTGTGTACTAGCTGGGGAATTCTGGGAGCTGAAGTCCACTCGTCTTAAACTTGATGAAGTTGGGAAAGCTAATGGTATGGTGACTTTCTATTTCAACTTCATTACATGATCTGTGAATTTTGGTTTCTCTTCACTTGTTTTCACATAACAGTCTCTTAATTTCTGCTCATATAATTCATTTTTTTTCCAGATTACATGGGGAAGACACAGGGAAACATCAATTGATTCAGATGATTTATGCAAAAAAGGAGTCAGGTTTTGAATTAACCAAGGTCAAAAGTAGCCAAGCTTACCAATTTGCAAACGTGCAGTTGTCTATTGGTTAGTGATCTGTGTTAATGTGGGATGGAATCACAACCCTTGTTTTTCATTGCTTTCTTAACTTTGTGACATCCCTTTGCTTCTGAGTTCTTACAACCAACCTAAAAATTAATCCTCTTTAGATTAATCAGTTACCTCCTGATATCCAAGGTAAGCATTCCAAATTCATTCTTCATTTTGTATTTCCCTGCTGGAGCAACACGAGGATCAATTCGAACTCCATTTTTAAACCTGGTCAGGTGCAAGAGAAGGAAAATGAAGATTGTTAAGGGAGGCTTCTGGAAATGTTGAAATCACATAGGGTTATGCATTTTGAATCATAAGCCAGGCAGAGTCATTGACTAAGGTGGACGGCTATAGAAATTGATTGATTGAATGAATGAATACAATGAAAACTATTTGAAAGAAGAGTTTCTGATTTCATTAAAGCAACCAAACTTTTCTCAGCCTTTGCAGGATGGTGCTGTTCTCACAAGAGATTCAAAGCATTTCTTTCAAATAATTTCCCCAATCTAGTGTCCTTCATATGTGAAGAGTTTCCAAGCACAACGGTGTTTGTAATGCAACACATTTGGAAGGCACCAGCTGGAAGAAGCATGTATATCAATCATAGTGAGCTGAAAAGATTATCAAAAATCAGTACAGAGCCCTTATTCATCTATGTACAACAACAACAACAACAACAATAATAATAATAAAGTTGGAAGGGACCTTGGAGGCCTTCGTGTTCAGGCATGAAACCCTATACCAGCGGTTCTCAACCTATGGGTTGCGACCCCATTTGGGGTCGATCGACCTCTTTTGTGGGGTCGCCAAAGGCGGCGATCCGCCATTTTGTCCCCTCCGGGGGCGCGCCGCGCCTCCGGGGGGCGGTGCCACGCACGCGCGCCGCGCGTGGGGGCGGCAGCACGCCTCCGGGGGCGCCGCCGCGCATGCGCACCGCACATGGGGGCGGTGCCACGCATGTGCGCCATGCGTGGGGGGCGCCGCCGCGCATGCGTGCCGCGCGTGGGGCCCCGCCCCCATGCGCGCCGCACCACGCATGCGCATAACGTTTGTGTGACGGGGGTCGCCGTCACATAAACGTTGAGAACCGCTGCCCTATACCATTTTGGACAAATGGCTGTCCAATCTCTTCTTAACAACTTCCAGTGTTGGAGCATTCACTGCTTCTGGAGGCAGATTATTCCACTGGTTAATTGTTCTAACTGTCAGGAAGTTTCTCCCTAGTTCTAGGTTGCTTCTCTCCTTGATTAGTTTCCATCTGTTGCTTCTTGTCCTGCCTTCAGGCGCCTTGGGAAATAGCTTAACTCCCTCTTCTTTGTGGCAGCCCCTGAGATATTGGAAGACTGCTATGATGTCCCCCCTTGTCCTTCTCTTCATTAAACTAGACATACCCAATTCCAGCAACCGCTCCTTATATGTTTTAGTCTCCAGTCCCCTGATCCTCTTTGTTGCTCTTCTCTGTACTCCTTCTAGAGTCTCAACATCTCTTTTACATCGTGGTGACCAAAACTGGATGAAGTATTCCAAGTGTGGCCTGTATGAGACCCTAGATGCTCTCTGTTTTTCTTGCAGGCATTTCATTACCAAACTAGGTATCATCATCAATCATCACCATCATCAATTTATTTATATTTTTTGCATTTGTGAAAGATCTTCCCCTATGATTAAAAAAAACAACAGCTGAAGGGGAATGCAATGATGTGAGGAAGCCCCATAGAAAGCGAGTGAACAAAGTTACAAAAAGGGAAGTGCTTCTAAGAGCAACCACAGATTTCCAGAGAAAATAAGTTTGGAGCTAAATCAAAACTTAATCAAAAGCTCCCCAGATGGGATGGTTTCTGAACAGATGCATTCTTTAAAACATCCTTCTGGAATTTGGGAAATGCATTTAACGTTTTCCAACTGTAAACTCTTTCACCTGCGGAGAAGGAAGCTATGTTAATTTCATTCTCATCATCGCTTTAAAAAGAAAAACATCCAAGCAAGTAAACAAAGCGAGGATTAGCTGGAATCAAATCAGTTCTTCCCATATCCTCAACAAGGCATAACATGTCCTACAATTATAGGGAATAAGCAATAGCCCTTGCACATTTAAATGCTCCATTGGGAAAAATAAATCCTCACCTGCATTTAAAGTTCTCCTTCTTGCTATTTATCTGTGAACAGGATCAAATATCCAACCACGTCCACCTTTCTAAGCTCAAAGGGTACAATCCTGAAAAGTCTGCAATCTGCTGATGAGATCAAGCGACTTTTTCAGAATATGAGAATAAAAGAGTTGGAAAGGACTGCTCAAGCAGGAGACACCATATCCTTTGAGACAAGTGGCTATTCAATAAAGGAGAATATTGGTAGCTCAATTGAAACTATGGTTAAATCTGTCTATATATTTTCACAACATACAGACAGATTTCAGTTGGGACCATTTCAGTTGGGAAAATGTAATCATTCTAGATCAGTGGTTCTCAACCTGTTGGGTCAGGACCCCATTTGGGGTCGAACGACCATTTCACAGGGGTCGCCAAACAACGCAGTCCGCCATTTCCCCCCCCCCCCTTTCCCTTAGCTGTGCTACTCCCTTTTATTCTATTGGCTTTTGAAAGCCAATAGAATAGACTCTCTTGAATAGAGTCTAATTCTATTGGCTTTCAAAAGCCAATAGGAATTGTCCAGGCTGTCTCTGCCCTGCTGAGCCCGCCAAAAGTCCCATTCTGCAAACGGTGCTGCACCAGTTGAGTAGTCCTCGACTTACGACCGGTTGGGGGTCGCGGCATTAAAAAGGTTGAGAACCACTGTCCTAGATCAAACCAAGTCCAAAAATGCCAGGGAATTTTTAGAAGCCTGGCAGTCTGACAAATTAGTCATCAATAGACATGTAGACATGAAAACATCTATAGACTATACAAAAGAGACAATCAACCAGCCAAAAGGGGAACAAAAAAGCCCAAACACCTCCCCACCAGCAATCAGCACCCAGACCAGCATATATGAACTTCAAGGTTAACATCAGACCAACAATCAAGTAAACAACACCCCAACCAAGAAACTTCCAAAGAACCCAACAGTAAATAGCCCAGCCAAAGAATCTCAACACTGACAGGCAAACTACGATAATATAAACTGACAGCCACCAGCACTTCTTACCAGCACTGAAGATGTTACCTAGTGTGAGTAATAAAACAGATGCAAGAAGCAAGCAAGTTCAGAGAGCACCAAGGACCCCTGTCAAATAGCTATTCAATTTCTTCTTTAAAACCTCCAGCAATGGAGGACCCATCTTTCAGAGGGACAATGAGTTCTTCTTTCATAGTTTCAGAGAGGCAACGCCAACGTTTTCTTCCTGGCCCACTTACCAGGTGACCTTCGGCTGAGGGTTAGCCAGAACAGTGCACTCCAGCGTGACACTCATCCTCTCCCAGACTGTGTGAGCTCTCAGGGGGATCCAAAACATGGGTGCCCGGCAGGACAACAGCTCCATCACCTCCTTTTCCAGTAGCGCCTTCGCTTCAGCCTTGGACGAGAATGCAGAAGGTTTTATAGCTTTTTATCTTACTGTTCTATAAATACATCCGCAGATATGGGACAGGGAACTATTAGCACCCTCTGGGTGTTAATGTTAAAACAACACTTCCCTTTAGAAGAGCTAAATTCCTGGTCATCACTTGGACAGTTGCATTTATTTTTCAGGTAACAATGCTTTACCATTGCCATCTTTGCAGGCCATAAATCTGAGATTTCTTGGGTGTTTCCCATCTAAATAACAACAGCGTCCCACTGCTTAGTTTTTCCCAGATCAGCCAGGTTAGTCTAGGTACTACAGTAACAATTGCCTAAAAGTTTCTCCACGGCTTTTGGATTGCCTACTCTTTACAGTGGCACAAAGGCTGCCATCGAAACAAGTAAACTGTTGCTTTGTTTCCCTCATGCAACTTTTGCAAAGAAAGAAAAATGAAGAAAGGGATGCTATTGAATGTCACACATCATGATAGCCGTATTCCAATACTTGAAAAGTTGCCACAAGGAAGAGGAGGCCAATTTATTTACCAAAGCACCTGAAGGCAGGAGAAGAAACAACGGATGGAAGCTAACCAAAGAGAGAAGCAACCTAGAACTAAGGAGAAATTTCCTAACAGTGAGAACAATTAACCAGTGGAACAACCTGCCTCCAGAAGCTGTGAATGCTCCAACACTGGAGGTTTTTAAGAAGAGACCGGACAGCCATTTATCAGAAATAGTACAGGTCTCCTGCAAGAGCAGGAGATTGGACTAGATGACCTCCAAGGTCCCTTCCAATTCGGTTCCAATGCTGGTTACATTAAAAAAAAGAGCTTATATGCTGGGTGTTTACACTTGCAAAGCTTCCTCTGGAGAAATGTATGTATAAAGGAAGAACATCATGGTAAATGCCCCAAAGATGCTGTTTCCCCAAAAGGCAACTGGATTTTCTTGGTTTTTTTTTTTCTTTGAAAATGTTTTGCTTCTCATCCAAGAATGTCCAGAACTGAAAAGCTTGTCAGTAAATGAACAGTCATTAGGTTGAGGACTATTTGTACTCAAACAGTTTCATAGTTGGGGTCCTTGGTGCTCTCTGAGCTTGGCTGTTTTCTTGTAGACATTTCACTATGTCAGTGATGGCGAACCTTTTAGAGACCGAATGCACAAACTGCAACCCAAAACCCACTTATGCATCGTCGGGTGCCGGGTGGGTGGGGCCCATTGGCTGGGCGTGGCCCATTGGGTAGGCGTGGCTGCAGTGGTAACGGCAGACTGGGTGGGACTAAAACGTTCAATCAATCAATTCCAACTTTACAAGATTATTTTTTCCCGCGAGAAGTTGAAATTGATTGATTGATTAAACTTTTTATTTTTGCACATGGCGGTGGAGGCCTAAAGCAAAACGATTTTATAAAATCCAGCTGAAGGCCTAGGACTGGGGCGATGGTGCGCGTGCCCACAGAGAGGGCTCTGAGTGCCGCCTCTGGTACCCGTGCCATAGGTTAGCCACCACTGAATTAGATAACAACATCAGTGCTCTAATGATGATACCTAGTTGGGTAATGAAACATCTGCAAGGAAAGCCACCAAGTTAGGAGTGCATCAACTCACCCCACAAGTCAACCCTGAGCTACAAATATTCTCTTCTATTAGTTACGTAGTTCCTTGGACCCCAAAGCTAAATTATACTCTGCGGATCATATTTCAAGCCATCTCCTCCCAAGTGCCTTCAAAAACCCCATTGCTTACCTTCCTCCGAAGGGCCATCCTGTCAGCCTTCACCCGCAAGAACCGGCAGTTTCTGATGACATCCTTCTCTAGTTTTTCCATGTCATTCCCAAAACGAATTCTCTTCTTTCCCCTCTCCTCCAGGTTTAGTATAGTGGCCTTCCGTCTCATCCTGGTTTCCCTGAGGAAGATGAAAATGTGTTGGAAAGTCCAGTTTTTCAAATTCAGAAATAGGCCTCATGCTAACGCTAAATCTTCGCTTTTTGATTCCTTTTTATTCTAGCTCCAGAGAAAGGTGAATAATCAAGTCTCACCCATGCATTACTGGGCATTTCTCTACTAGTAATTTATAGTTATTCAGTTACTATAATTTCACCGTATGACATATGACAGTGATGGCAAACCTTTTAGAGACTGAGTGCCCAAACCACAACCCAAAACCCACTTATTTATTGCAAAGTGCCAGGGCCGCATCAGCATTGTGGTGGCCTCGGGGGGGGGGGGGGAGAGGCGCCTCTGAGTGCCGTCTCTGGCACGCAAAAACAGGGACATAAAAATGGGCCACCCTGCTGCAAGGGGCAAAATCGGCTGCCGCCGTGCCACAGGGTGCAGATACAAGGTGCTGCACCATAAGAACAGGGCAGGGCTAGTGAGTATCATGCAGGCACTAGCCCCACCCCATTTGTAGTGTGTGCATGCTCATGGCCCCGTGCGCACATGCACACATGTAAAATGCTTCCCTCTCCCTTTTCTTCCAGACCACCAATCGACAGTGGTTGGTGACCTCTGCTCTACCACCCCTACTAGAGTTTGCTAGTTGGCCGCTTCGCCTCCTTTGTGCTGGGTGGGGCTCCAGCGCCGGGTGGCAGTGGCAGCCTGATGGACCTGCTGCTGGTGGTGGTGGTGCGCGTGCCAACAGAGAGGGCTCCGAGTGCCACCTCTGGCACGCGTGCCATAGGTTCACCACCACTGACATATGAAGTTAAATGGAAATTGCTAATATGGAAATATACGTGCTAGTTTCACCTATGTCAGGGAGTATTTGTACAAAAAATGCTAAGGCAATTGGATTGTTAGATGTCTATTTATTACTGTTTTAAAAAATAAGAATGTTTATATTGTGGATATAGGTATCCTCGATTTACGACCACAACTTGAGCTAAGCAAAGCAGTAAGTGAATTTTGCCCCATTTTACGACCTTTCTTGCCACCGTTGTTACGCGAACCATTGCAGTTAGTAACTCAGTTGATGTGAATCTGGCTTCCCCATTGACTTGGTTTGTCAGAAGGCCAGAAAAGTTGATCACGTGACTCTGTCATAAATACATGCCAGTTGCCAAGCAACCAAACTTTGATCACGTGACCCTGGGGATGCTGCAATGGTCGTAAGTATGAAGAGTGGTCATAGGTCGCTTTTTTAAATTAAATTTTATTAGATTTTATAAGGGTAAAGAAGGGATAGGGTCGGTATGGGTATTGAATAGGGTTGAGGAATAGGGTTAGGATAGGTACAGTAATGGGGTTGCCCCCAACAATCATTCCAACGCTTTAGCAAGCGGACTATCATCCGGGTACAGATATTAAATAACAATAATTAATATAATATTAAATAATTATAATCACTAAAGATAGCAATAATCATGAGAGTGATAGTTAATCAGTAAATATCATTCAGCCTATTAAATTTCACATTCCTTTCTCGCTAGATCGTATTGTTAACCACTGATAAAAATTTTTCCCATGTTTTAAAATAAACGGAGTCTTCTTTCTCTTTAATCTCTAATGTTAGTCTATCCATTTCTGCACATTCTAAAATTTTCGTAATTGTAATCTGGTCAGATGGTAAATTTTCATTTTTCCAAAATTGGGCAAATGCTATTCTCGCGGCTGTCAGTACACGTAACATTAAGTATTTGTTCTCCTTTCCATAATTATAGGTCACTTTTTTTCATGCCGTTGTAACTTTGAACGGTCACTAAATGAATAGTTGTAAGTTGAGGGCTGTCTATTTAAAGTTTTCCTCTGGATGTGGCCTTCAGAGAAATCCGGAGGCGGTCATCAAAATATTTAAGGTGACAGAAGGTGAAAAGAAGTCCATCACTGCAGAATGTAATGTTAACTATATTTATCAAGTGGGCCTGGCGCAGAAAAAAATGTCCTTCCAGTAAATCATTGGACATACCAAGATTCTTCAGTTGTCAGCGCAAGAGCAGATGCAATGGTCCTATCCAGAGATGTGAAACTTTCTTCTTCTTCGCTGTTCCAAGAAAGTTGAGATGGCAGACAAAAAAAAAAAATAATAAGTGAATATTTGGAGACATAAATATTTGGATGAAAGAACGGGCAATGATAAAAATGTTTCGTAAATAAAGTATTCTGTCTGGAGAGCTTGTGCATAAATAGTGGAGACTATTATTATGCTTGTCTGTGCAATAAACCGAGAAAAATACAGTGTAATAAAATCAAACTCATTTTGAGCCTGAATTGTTTCCATGACATGCTTACCATTCCAATTAAATGTAAAACAATTGATTGCATTTAAAAGGTTGGTTTAAAACAGAGGTCCCCAACCCCCAGGCTGAGGGCCAGTACTGGTCCTTAATCAGTGGTGGGATTCAAATATGTGAACAACCGGTTCTCTGTTTGGATGCCGCTTCCAGAAGTCCATTCTGGGCCTGGGCAACAAAAAATTAGCTACTGGTTCTGCCAAACTGGTGTGAACCGGTTGAATCCCACCACTGTTCTTAATGCAAAGACTGACTGTATTAAGTATTGAGGGTGCCAAAGAAAGAGTGAATGGACATTAATTTTCCAAGCAGCACTGTTGAATTTTCTTTTATATTATTATTTTAATGGCTTTAACTATTATTTGGAGCTCTGCTTAATGGAGTTCTTTCAGAACTGAAGACAAGATTAAAAGACCCTGAAATGAATGAATAATGCAGCTACCAAATATGTATTCGTAGAATTGCAATGTAAGTGAGCCATCAGGCTGTGGCGTTCTTCTCTGTTATTCAGCGTTCTAATCCCATTGAAAGCAGACTATGGAGCTGAGACTGAAATAGCAGTGGTGTTACCTTCCAATTCTCTTCATAGCTTTCTGTACTTAGTGTCCTACAAATGTATTAGGCTGAGACCTATAGTTCCCAGCCAATGTTGCTAGCGAACATGTGGCTAGAAATAAAGTCTAGATCTAAACATCTGGAGAACATCAAATTGAGAAAGGTGCTTGACACATTTACTTGGGACTTAGTGAGGGGAGTTCAGTGGCTGTATTCACACAAGACATATAGCCAGGTTAAAGATTATTAAACATTATTAAGATATGCTAGATACATTTGCATAATATGTTGAGTTGGATTATGGTTAGGTTTTGATAGCTTCCTGTGCTATGGAAACTCAACCCAGTGAATATATTCATTTTCAAGGTATTGTACATTAAAGCCTGTCCAAATTAGCTGAGTTTACACAACAGGCAAGCTTTCACAGAAACTAACCAAAGAAGTTGAGCAGGTTATGAGAATACAACCACTAGCTTTTAAATGGATCATACGAGATATATCTCAGATCCCTTCTCTCAACCCGGACTCTGTTATTTTCTTAATTCCTAAACTCACCTGGTCCTGAACTTGGACTTTCTTGTCTGTGAAGTCATTTGCAAATCGCGGTGTCTCTCTGCCTTCTGCTCCTCTTCTCTGTGGTGGTAAAAGGTGTGGGTTGTCATGATGGAGATCAGAGGATTCCTGTCTGCCAAAAAACATCAAGAGTCCAGAGTCACAGAGATGGGCGGGGAGATGGGTGGCATAGATATTAAAAACAAACAAACAAGCAAATCATTCAATAAAAGTGAAAAAGAAGACGAGAGGAGGAAGAAGAGAAGGAACTGAATTCTTTCCCCTCCTTCTTTTTACAACCCTGTAAAGCCTTTTCTAAAAAGCAGAGACATCACCCTGCCAACCAAAGTGCGTATAGTCAGGGCCATGGTTTTCCCAGTTGCAATATATTTTTCCTGGGCTCCAAGATCACCGCAGATGGGGACTGCAGCCAAGAAATTAAAAGATGCTTGCTCCTGGGGTGGAAAGCTATGGCAAATCTAGACAGCATACTAAAAAGCAGAGACATCACCCTGCCAACAAAAGTACGTACAGTCAAGGCCATGGTTTCCCCAGTTGCAATGTATGGCTGTGAAAGTTGGACCATAAGAAAGGCTGAGCTCCAAAGAATTGAGGCCCTTCAACTATGGTGCTGGAGAAGACTCCTGCGAGTCCCCTGGACTGCAAGGCGATCCAACCGGTCAGTCCTGGAGGAGATCAACCCCGACTGCTCTTTAGAAGGCCAGATCCTGAAGTTGAAACTCAAGTCCTTTGGCCACCTAATGAGAAGGAAGGACTCACTGGAGAAGAGCCTGATGCTGGGAAAGATGGAGGGCAAGAGAAGAAGGGGACGATAGAGAATGAAGGGGCTGGATGGAGTCACTGAAGCAGTAGGCGTGAGCTTAAATGGACTCCAGAAGATGGTAGAGGACAGGAAGGCCTGGAGGAACGTTGTCCATGGGGTCGCGATGGGTCGGACACGACTTCGCAGCTAACAACAACAACAAAGTCTTTTATCAGGGCAGAGTCGGAGTGACTGAATGCTCACATTTACTGGTGGGATGCCCTTCCAGATGCCTATGTGGAGTTTGCAGCAGTTATTTTCTCTTTCTGCCCTGACAGAGAAACATCTGTCATCACCTAGAATTGAACAACAGATGTTTCTCTCTCAGGGGGCAAAGAGAAAATATCTGCTGTGAACTCCACGTAGGCATCAGGAAGGGCATCCCACCAGTAAATGCCCAGCTCCGTCATTCATCTAGAGAAGAGACGGAATCAAATAAAGTGTATTAAACCGTTCATAGGTTAACATATAGAGTACATTTCTTTCCATCCTTCAAAAAAAAAAAAAAAATGAAGCCCAGCTGAAAATTCCCCTAAGCATGAAGGCTCAACCTCTGCATTCCTTTGAAGCCTAAGAAAATAATTTTCAAAAAGTGCAAAAAGCTGGTCATTTCCTTGGTATTGTCACACATCTGGGCAGGGGAAAAGTCTGTTTTTATTCACAAGAATATTTTTTTTTAGTTTTCTTCATCTCTGAACACAAGGTCCAAATCAGTAGAACATCATCATCATCATCATCAACAACAACAATAATAGGAAAGAAATGGTTAACAACTGCAACAAGTGCTTATTTGTGGTCCTGTCGATATTTGAAAACTCTCAGAAGCCTAACTGGGAGGTGAACGAAAATGGGATTAGGTCAGTTGCTTTCTTAAAGATAGAAAGAGGGAGAGAAACAATGCAGCTCCTCTTGGCTGATGTCCATTTCATGCTGTTGGTTGCCAAAGACAAGCTACAATATCTCCCCCCCCCCCGGCCGGGATCAGGCTCCATTTAGACACAGCTGAAATGCTTGTGGGATTCAATGCATGCAGCCTTCCAAAGACACATTCATCCACCCTGCCAAACAATTTTAGGAACCAGCTCACTATGGCTGGGAACAAATGCAGGATTCAAACATAGGGCAGAGCAAGGTGACCATCTCAGGTGGCAAATGCCAGGACAGGGGAAGAGAAGGGCAGTGCCCTGACAGTTCTTCAAGAACATCCTGGCCGTTGGGAGACAGCTGGAGAGGTCACACCATCTGCCCTGGTCTCCATTCAGCCTGGTGTTTGAGAACTGGACAGGAGGCCCTTCACACCTCCCTTGGACCCCACCCCACACTCTCTCTCTAGAACAGTGGTTCTCAACCTGTGGGTCGGGACCCCATTTGGGGTCGAACGACCATTTCATGGGGTCGCCAAACAACGCAGTCCGCCATTTTCCCCCCCTTTTCCTTAGCTGTGCTACTCCCTTTTATTCTATTGGCTTTCGAAAGCCAATAGGAATTGTCCAGGCTGTCTCTGCCCTGCTGAGCCCGCCAAAAGTCCCATTCTGCAAACGGTGCTGCACCAGTTGACTTACGACCGGTTGAGTAGTCCTCGACTTACAACCGGTTGGGGATCGCGGCATTAAAAAGTTGAGAACCACTGCTCTGGAACTAAGGAGAAATTTCCTGATAGTTAGAACAATTAATCAGTGGAATGACTTGCCTTCAGAAGTTGTGGCCGCTCCATCACTGGAGGATTTTAAGAAGAATTTGGACAGCCATTTGTCTGAAATGGTATGGGGCTCTCCTGCCTGAGCAGGGGGTTGGACTAGATGACCTCCAAGGTCCCTTCCGATTCTGTTATTCTCTGCACCTCTCCAAAGGAGGTCACGGCCCTATATGTTTTATTAAAAACTGTAACCGACAGCGCAGGGTTTCCTAAATTGCGAGGTGTACAGCAATGTTTAAATCCACCTTTTCCAAAGTTTCGTTCCACTGTTTTCATAGTTCATTTACTGTATGTTCATTGCAATGATTGTTTTTTTTATGGAGATGCCTGTATATTAAGATTACACTAAAGGAAGGTGTGAGGGCAAAAATTTTAGGAATCTCTGATTTGGGGGAAGTCACTCCTCTCAGCTGTTGGCCGTTTTGGAATTTACAATCTGGCAACAACAGATTTGGAGGAGACAAAAAAAAATCCAGCTGTTCAACAGACATCAGAAGTTATTTTTCTGAACTCTGCCATTCCTTTGCTTGAAAGAGCATGTGTTGGTACAGTTGTATACTTTGTTCGCGTGCGAATGATGAAGACACATGGCGATGCTGAACAAACACTTTATTTTCCTTCTACAACAATCAAACAAAAGCAAAAGACACGCAGGCCTTTTTATATGGCCAGAAGCCCAGACAGTGTCAACCAATAGGAACAGAGCATTTTTGCGCCTTGCGCATGCGCACAAGGCCAGCGCCGCTCTGTCTGGTCCCGGGCAGCTTTTGGAATGCCCACGACCAATGCAAAGTCTTGAGCCTGCTTTTGCGGGCTCAGGACACAACAAGCTTGATTTTCTTTTGAAAACTCTGGCAGGCTTTGAAGATGGATATCAGCCTTTCAATGTAGGCCAGGTAAAGAAACAGGCATGATAGAGGCTGCACAAATGCTACTTGATTGTTGTAGCATCTAGCAACAAAATCTTGAAAACCAGTGGCAAAGTGATGTGGAGAGCAAGCCAACTTGGCTGTTTGGGATAGCTTGCACACTCAATGAGTGTGACTGAGGCATTAATGAAGCCATCTTTTGTAGCTTCCAATGATCAGGATTGACTCTGGCATCTGACAAGGTGAAGCAACCACTTCGGGAAGCTGGAAGGAAGAGTACCAAATTGTGAAACATCTGGATGGGAACAGGAGGTGCAGGAACAGGGATGCTGACAGAGCCAGATGCTGACAGAGTAAGGCGGTAGGAATAGGCACTGAGGCTGGAGATCTTCTGGACCACCCAGGGCAGTCAGCATCCCTGTATCCCAGAAACAGCACAATCTTGGCTTTTGCCTGAAAAGTAGCAAAATATTTTGGACCATCCCATAGGTAGCCAGATCTTCAGAAAGCCAGGAATAGAAATAGAACAACATCTTGAGAACAGATGACTGGTTTAGTAGACGGAAAGAATCTGGTCAAATGTGTAACCTTTTTTTTTTTTAATTTGAAAGCTCTCTTTTAATGTCATGTTTTATACATACGTGAACTTTTGATGTATCCAACAGTCTGATTTTTTTTCTCTGTCTACAATATTTGGTAAAAGATATGAATCAAAACTTAGGAACTTCAAAATGTTTTCTGAATCTTACCGATCTGATTTGGGTTCATATATAAAAAACATTTTGGCTTCATAGGCACGAGGGATTTTGCCTCGCTACCTATCAAGAAACCTTGGTTGGATTCACACATTATGCAAAGCCATCACACACTTTTTTGGCTCCACTTTGGCATGTTGTGTGAATCCAGCTAATGCAGTATATAAATCAGCAGAACATGTAAACCTATCTAAGGACTTCCTTAAGAAAATCATGGTGGAATTATTTTCTCTTTCTCTCTTTAACTGATTAGCTAGCAAAGCAAGAATGATAATGAAAGAGGTGATATGAAAACTTAGGATAATTATGACAGACAGTACAGTCTGGTCCCTGAACAAGATTTTGAAAAGAAGCAGGAGAAGAGAGAACATGATAACACTGATAATTTCAAAAATCTATTAAAAAACCTTCCCTATATTTTATATATTCCTTTTATTGAAGGAGATTTGATTTTACGGTATGCCTCATATTGGACCTGAAGACATTTTGTAAATTTTCATAGGAACATATCAGGCTAAGACTTTTAATAAACTGTTTACGCCTGAACACAACTGACAGATTTTAAAATAGCCCATGTGTTACAGTGAAGAAACAAAAAAATACTCAGCACACATGTCTCTATCACTCTTACATTGGTGAAGCTCAGGACAAGAAGACCAGCTTCAGGAATCCAACAGAGAGATGAACAACTGTTTTCTTAAATTCAAAATTCAGAGCGTTGTTGACAGGTTGAGGAAGAGCTAAGAAAAGAGAACTATTGCAAAGTGAAGTGAGGGTCAGGCTGGATGAAGCAATAAACATCTGTGTCAAGAATTTCTGAGGAACCTTGTCCAGACTAGGAGCGTCAGGGACAGGCAGAGACATGGACATCTCAGGAACCTTTGGGTTAGGTTAGGTGAATGCAGTGCCCTCTACTTGGAGAAAATGGTTTGCCAACTTCAGTTAACATGGACTGGAACAACCATGATGTAATGTGCACAACAGGAGCCACACCATACTTATTCTCAGGTCAGTTGTGCAGGTTGCCCAATGACTTATAAGACTATCTCAAGGTATAGATGTGTTGACATCAGGATCATAATGGCTTGGATGGTCAGATTTTATTGGTAGACCCTGGCATATCCACTGAATCCACAAAGATGATCTAATTTGTGGTGCAACCAATGAATGATGGCTGAGTTACAAATAATAATAATAATAGTAATAATAATCAGCAGAATAGATGAGAAAGAACTGGAGAAGATAACAAAATACAAAGACCTACAAATAGAAATAGAAAGACTGTGGCAAAGGCAAGCAAGGGTAGTACCAATAGTAATAGGCTCCTTGGGTGCAATCCCAAAACAACTGGAGCACCACTTGAGCACCATCGGCATTGACAAATTTGCCATTAGTCAATTGCAAAAGGCAGCCTTACAGGCTTCCATCCTATGACAATATATGTAATACCATCAAACATCCACATCTGCCTATCCCAGGTCCTTGGGAAGGACTCGATAGGTAGACAAAAATGCCAAATCCAGTCTGAACATCTAGCTGACTGTGCGATGATCCATAATAATGATAATAATGATAATAATGATAATGATGTTGATGATGATGATGATGATAATAATAATAATAATAATAATAATAATAATAATAATAATAATAATAATATAAAGTTGGAAGGGACCTTGGAGGTCATCGAGTCCAACCCCCTGCTCAGGCAGGAAACCCTACACCATTTCGGACAGATGGCTGTCCAGTCTCTTCTTAAAAACTTCCAGTGTTGGAGCATTCACAGCTTCTGGAGGCAGGCAGTTCCACTGATTAATTGTTCTAACTGTCAGGAAGTTTCTCCTTAGTTCTAGGTTGCTTCTTTCCTTGATCAGTTTCCATCCATTGCTTCTTGTCCTGCCTTCAGGTGCTTTGGAGAATAGTTTGACTCCCTCTTCTTTGTGGCAGCCCCTGAGATATTGGAAGACTGCTATCATGTTGCCCCAGGTCCTTCTCTTCATTACTCAAGCAAGTTGTTCTTTATGTGGCCGGCCTCGTTGGTGAGCTTTTTGCCATTAGACCTATATCAGAATACATTTTTCTCCTGAGTTTAATGTGTTTGCTTCTGGGTGAAGAAGAGAATTTGATCCTATTATTTTAATGCTTTGTTGGTTGCATGGTGATTGCATTGTGGCAAACTCTTTTACGAAAATTAAATGAAGAGCAGTATGCAAATGAATATTATTAAGATGTTCTGGTTCTTGTGAGCTGCAAGAGAAAGGCCATAATGGATCAGAGGGCATCTGAGAAGAGTTTTTTCCTTTGCAAAATGCCATGAACAAGATGTTCTTGAACTCCTAATCCTTACACTTCTTCCACAACAATCTTGTCTGTGTAAGGTAGCTTGGCTGTATTTCACCTAGGATTTTTTTTGCTGCAAAAGTGACGTAATTCTTTTCATGGGGCAAAACAGAAAAAGGAAAAGCAATGGGTTTGGCCTTGAAGGAAGCCCTGCTTATCTCTCTGCCTGCCTGAACTGATACTTGCCAAAGCTGAGAAAAGATTCTGCACGGGATGCTCAGCAGGTACAAACACATCCTTTGAACAGGTGGCTGATCTGAGTGGGTGGAAGACAGATGCTCCAGGATTTTGCAAACACCAGTTGAAACAGAAAGGATGAAAAGAATTATTTTCATTGCTCCCAAACGGGCATTGAAGGGGTGCCCAGAATGGTTGTGCTGGGGTTTTGAGAGAGGGGAATCAGAAAAGTTTAAGATGGCAGCTATGTCTCATCCTATTTTATGAGTACGGTTCCTCTGAGGCCAATTTACAAAAGGATCGCCCATCCCAATCGCAAAACATCTCAAAATTGCAAAAAGAGTTTGCAATGCAAAAACAAGTTCCCTTCTTGATAATCTGCACACCTCTATTTCCCAGGAAATTTTTGTGTTTGTAAATCATACTTTATATACAGTAATAAATAAGCATATATTTGGCAGATTCTTATCAGGATTATGGTAGTAATTTTAAATCAAAGATTTCTGTTGATCAGTTGCTGCAGAAATACTCTTTTCTCTCTCATACAAGATTAGTTCAATAAAGCTAAGCTATGGGGAAATTTAGGACAGCTAAGAGGAATTTGACCTGTGGAATTCATCACCACAAGATGTTATGGTGGCCACCAGCTTGGATGGCTTTACAGCAAAGACAATGAAACACATTTATAGAGGAGAGGATTGTCAATAGCTACTTTACACAGTTTTGCCTCCTAAGAAGTATAAAAACAAAATAGGAAGAGGCCATATCCTGCTTATTGTCTTTTTTTCAGATTTGGGGAAGTAGGAAATATAATACCTATTTATACAGGTAGTCTTTGACTTACAACCACAATTGGAACTAAATTCCCGATCTTAAGTCATTATAGTCAAGGCATCTGTATGATCGAACCTAATTTTACAACATTTGTGCAGCGGTTGTTAAATGAATCTTCATGGTCATTAAGAAAATGCTGCAGTCGTAAGTTCAAATCCATTCTTTTGAATGGATGTGTTTTGCCAGAAACCGGCAAAAATTGCCAGAAAATGGCAAAAACCATCACAGAATGGGAAGCTACCAGTTCTAAATTCAGTCTGGGTGCCAGGCATCCAAAATGCAGTCACATGCATTTTGCATAAGTGTGTGTGTGTGTATGTGTCTATGTTTGTGTGTGTGTGTGTGTAATGACATTTTACGATGGCCAGAAGTGGCTTGTGGGCTGTAAAGCAGCTGTTCTGGTGTGTCAAAATTTCAAAGGGTTGTTAAGCGATAATTGTAAGTTGAGGAATACAGTTGCCTTTATCTTACCTTTATGGATTAAAATGAGAGGGAAAAACTGCCCCTTAAATTGTATTCCGGAGATCATATGATACCATTATGGAGACCAGGATATTAGACTGGTATGTAGACAACCTGCGGTGTTAGAAAAATGAGTACTTGGCCCATTTATATTCATCATGCTTGCATGTGGGAATTAGAATACCCAGTCCCTGTTTATGGGAAACCACAGTTTGCTGTTGCATCAGAACCTATAAGCTATACTTTGCATTTACCTAAAACAGGAAGGTTTAGTCATGAATTCAGCTAGATGTGGCCATGATTTGATATGATGTAATGCAAATATCTCACTGTCACCCAGGCTACCTTTATTGATAAATAAAGGAATGCAACATATTTTAGAAATAATAAACAGAAGTAAATTTAAAACGGATAAGCTCTTTGGGGCCTAATGTAAAAGAATGGATCTTTTATTTTTAATAGTATTCCTCTTCATAATAACTTGAGGCAGAGGAAAAAAACAGAACAAAATGTTTTTGTAAAATAAGCTGGTGGGATAGTTATCAAACTATTATTTCACACAAAGTAAAACTGAAGGATCCCAAACAACCTTTCAAAGCAAGTTACATATTTGAGAAGGGAGAAGATCACATACCTTGATTTAACAATCTGAGGATGAAAAATATTTCCCCAGTGCTTAGGATCCCAGTGTATTAGAGGAAAATCTGAGCAGGGTTGATGAAGTTCTGAGTTCTGAAGAAGAACAGAACTCACTGGAGCGATGTCCGTCCCTTTCTTGAGGGCATTAAGCATGACTATCTCCACAAGAATGTGTCTAAGGATAAACTGCCCACCCCTTCCGCCTTAAATATAGAATTATCTCATGTCACTTCAATGACAATGGAGCAAACCATCCAGGATTTATGATCGCTCTGCATTGAGACAGCCAGATTATTTTTCTGGCATCGGGAGTAGCCATATCCATTGTCAGACCAGAGCTAGCAAGAATAGCTGGCGTGTGGACTCGCGCATAATGCTGCTTTGAACAGATGTCCATTGGGTGCATGACAAACTTGTTGCCTCTTTTGAAGACCATTCATGTGGAGCTGTCCTGGGAAACTGCCCCCTCTGCCATTCTCTCTGAGAATTGGTAAGGTCTTTCTCCTGGAGACAAGTTCTATTTATTTGTCAGCTTTGTTTTATTTTTCTGAGATGGGGTTAAGGGGAAAAATTCTACAGTTAGCCAAGAAAAACCAAATGTACAGGTATAGTATAGGGGGTACCTTGCTCAATAGTAGTAACTGTGAGAGGGATCTCGGAGTCCTAGTGGACAATCCCTTAGATATGAGCCAGCAGTGTGCTGCAGCTGCCAAAAAAGCCAACACAGTTCTAGGTTGCATTAACATAGGGATAGAATCAAGATCACGTGAAGTATTAATACCACTTTACAATGCCTTGGTAAGGCCACACTTGGAATACTGCATCCAGTTTTGGTCACCACGATGTAAAAAAGATGTTGAGATTCTAGAAAGAGTACAGAGAAGAGCAACAAAGATGATTAGGGGACTGGAGGCTAAAACATACAAGGAACTGTTGCTGGAATTGGGTATGTCTAGTTTAATGAAGAGAAGGACGAGGGGGGACATCATAGCAGTCTTCCAATATCTCAGGGGCTGCCACAAAGAAAAGGGAGTCAAGCTATTCTCCAAAGCACCTGAAGGCAGGACAAGAAGCAACGGATGAAAACTAATCAAGGAGAGAAGCAACCTAGAACTAAGGAGAAACTTCCTGACAGTTAGAACAATTAACCAGTGGAACAACCTGCCTCCAGAAGCAGTGAATGCTCCAACACTGGAAGTTTTTAAGAAGAGACTGGACAGCCATTTGTCCAGAATGGTATAGGGTTTCCTGCCTGAGCAGGGGGTTGGACTAGTTGACCTCCAAGGTCTCTTTCAACATCATCATCATCATCATTATTATTATTGTTATTATTATTATTATTATTATTATTATTATTATTATTATTATTATTATTATTTACATTGAACAATCAAGGAACTTCATTTGCCTGTTTTGCTTCTGTAGCAGCCCAGCTTTGAAACAAGTTCAGCCAAACGCAGAAAACCTAACTGTCCCAAGGACCAATCACAGAGACCCTCAAGGAAGAAATACAGGGAGTCCTCGACTTGAGACAAAAATTGGAACCAGAATTTTTGTTGCTAAGAAAGTGAATCCAGCTTCCCCCATTGACTTTGCTTGCCGGAGGCCAGCTGGGAAGGACACAAATGGAGGCCACGTGACTCCAGGAGGCTGCAACTGTCATAAATAGAGGCTGGTTGCCAAGCGCTTGAATTTTGATCATGTGACCATGGGAATGCTGCAATGGTCATAAGTGTGAGGATCAGTTTTAAGTCATTTTTTTTTCCCTAGTGATGTTGTAACTAAGTTATTTATGATGGCTGCAGTGTCCCGTGTTCACCTTCCCACTCAGCTTCCGACAAAAAAAGCTAATGGGAGAATCCGGATTCACACAACAACTGTGTGATTCACTTAGCAGTTGCCGTGAGGCACTTAATAACCATAGAGAGAAAGATTGTAAAACTGGGCACAACCCACGTAACAACCCCTTGCTTAACAACAAAAATCCTGGCCTCCGTTGTGGTTGTAAGTAAAGGAGCACCTGCATATAACTGAATCTTTGTATGGACGGTATACGAGATTACAAATAACTGCTCAATTAAAAATCACCGTTTCTTGGTGATTATTCCGATTGCTGAGATCTTCTGAGACTGCCCGAAATTTGATTTAATAAATGTGAGTTCACGAATTTCTTGTGGAGAAAGAGTGGCTTTAAATACCTGGTTTTTTCCCCCCTCAAATGAGTGCTTTGAGGTAAGTCAGTGTCTATACCAGGGGTCTTCAAACTTAGCCCTTCTATGACTTGTGGACATCAACTCCCAGAAGTCCACAAGTCATAAAAGGGCCAAGTTTGAAGACCCCTCAACCCTTCCTGTCTCCTGTCCCGATTTAAATCTGAAATAATCAAACCACTCTTGATTTTAAAAGTGAGCTACAGTTCCCAAAAGCTTATGCCTTTTAATAACATTTGTTCGTTGGAAAGGGATTGCCTGGCTCCTTCTGGTTTTTGATCAAAATAATGAAAGTACGATTGAAAACAAAGAAAATGTCCATGGGCTGGATTCATTAGCTTAAGGTTGTATAAAACACACCCACCCACACACACACAAATGCCCCAAAGCATACAAGAACATTATAACTGGAGGGCAGAAGGCACACTTAATAATAGTAATAATAATGATAAAGTTGGAAGGGACCTTGGAGGTCATCTAGTCCAATCCCCTGCTCAGACAGGAAACCCTACACCATTTCGGACAAATGTCTCTTCTTAAAAACTTCCAGTGTTAGAGCATTCACTGCTTCTGGAGGCAGGTTGTTCCACTGGTTAATTGTTCTAACTGTCAGGAAGTTTCTCCTTAGTTCTAGGTTGCTTCTCTCTTTGGTGAGTTTCCAACTTAGGCTAAACCCAGTGGCTGACTTCTGACAACAGAATGAATGACAGTCCTGTTTTAGCCTAGTATGTTATACAATCCTAGCCTCTCTGTGTTGCTGTGTTTAGTGTACTTATGAAATGTAATTATGCAATTACCTCAATTTGCTACGGCGATTAGTGACATTCAAGTAGGATAAAATCTAAGCAGTCCTTGTGCGCATCAGAAACAAGCAATCTCTGACCCACCACATGCTTTTCAGCAAGTGACAAACCGGAGTTATTGGTGAGGGATTTCACTCTTTTTGATCTGTCGTGATCCCTGTTTGAAATTTCCTTTGGAATAAACAATGGGCCCACAACAGTTTCTGCAAGTGCCCCCCCCCCAATATACTGTATTGCTAACATGGAATCCCTGGGCATTTGCTCCGGAAAGCCTGCCCTGTGAATCTCTTGGCAGATGAAGAGGCACACAGTCAATCAATCAGAATAGAGCTGGAAGGCACCTTGGAAGGTCATTTAGTCCAACCCCCTGCTCAGGCAGGAAACCCTCTACCATTTCAGACAAATGACTGTCCAGTCTCTTCTTGAAAACCTCCAGTGTTGGAGCATTCACAGCTTCTGGAGGCAGGTTGTTCCACTGATTAATTGTTCTAACTAGCAGGAAGTTTCTCCTTAGTTCCAGGTTGCTTCTCTCCTTGATTAATTTCCATCCGTTGCTTCTTGTCCTGCCTTCAGGCGCTTTGGAGAATAGCTTGACTCCCTCTTCTTTGGGGCAGCCCCTGAGATACTGGAACACTGCTATCCTGTCCCCCCTCGTCCTTCTCTTCATTAAACTAGACATCCCCAATTCCAACAACCGTTCCTTGTATGTTTTAGCCTCCAGTCCCCTAATCATCTTTGTTGCTCTTCTCTGTATTCTTTCTAGAATCTCAACATCTTTTTTACATTGTGGTGACCAAAACTGTTCCTCTGTGTAATTGTCCTCACTGTTAGGAAGTTTCTCCTTAATTCCAGGTTGTTTCTCTCCTTGATTAGTTTCCACCCATTGTTTCTTGTCTTGCCTTCTGGTACTTTGGAAAATAAGTTGACCCCCCCCTCCGCCCCTTGTTGCAAGCCCCCCAAAAAGGGGGGGGGAGGAAGGCAGATAGGCAGGCTACTGGTAATTTTCTGCAATTGCTGAATCGAAAGGGGGAAATGCTTGGCACTTTATTACTATTCAGAGAACACTGCAGTCCAATTCACTCTGCCACTCATTTCTCCCCCCCCTAAATTATTTTGTTGCATGCACAGGTCAGAACCTAGACTATGTCAGAATCCAATTATATTTCATCTCTAGTTATCGACTATGGAAAACCCCATTTCTGCCCTCTCTGGATGCTGTCATACGATGAAGGGGAAGGGGGGTGAACAAAGGGGTTTTATGGCCCTCACTTCCTTTGGTACAACTTCAAAGGGATTGAATGTGGATACCACCAAAAGGATTAAATCATAACAATGGGGCATCAGCTTTCATCTACTCCTCTCTGAAGTCTCCCTTCCACCGGCAGCAAGGAAAAAGGGGGTGGAAATGTAACGCCTGGGATTGTGGCTGGAAGGATGGTGGGGTGGGGTGGGGCTGCTGGGGACCCCTTAAAACCTTGAACCGTAGGGCTTGGGCCCCAGGTCCTGTCTAGAACGCCTGCAACCATTTTCTCTTAATAAAGGATGCCTGTTGGAAGAAATATTCCAAGAGTTCTGTCTTCTTAAGATGCAAAGTGGGGTGGGTCCTTATCCTGTCTCTCTCTCTCTCCTAATCTCAAAGGATAAATCACATGTGAATTATTTAGCCCATTTTTGTGGCCTATTGCTACTAGGAAGTGGTGCTGTGGGGATAAATGTCAGAGAAAGAAAAGAAAAGAAAGGCTGTGTTTACATTCTAGGCTTAACTAGGTCAGGTGTAAACCTAGTTGCTGCTTTTAAACATGCTATTTACCTGTTAGACTTGGTTATTTCTAACCCTGGTTAGATTTTTTTGGGTGGGGGCGAATTTCACTGTGTTGCATGCATCCTACTTGGTTTTCCCTTTTTATTTTTCAACCTTGCCAACTTTTTAAGATTGGTTGGGAAATTCTCAGAGTTGAAGTCCACCCCTCTTCAAATTGTCAAGATTGAAAAAAAATACCTCGTTGAAGTTTTTAATGCAAAGCACAACCCCAGGAAAAAGGGACAATTCTGTGCAATGACATGTGAAAAATGAATTTGAAGGGGAAGGGGAAGAGATGCTGCTTAGGAAACAATTGGATAAGAGAGGGAGG